TGCCACTTTTACGTAGTTGAATAGTGTAGAGCAGACACAATGCTTATCTAACTATCAAATCAGGCTGTTTCATATTGTAAAAGTTTCCAAAATTTTGGGGGAAAATGTTAGTGTTTTGTTGGTTTTAACTTATTTCAACTATAATTTTTGAAAACTCTAATTTATTATGATTTTTGAAAGCTCCATTATATGTCTGTGGCTAGATAAAGTATACAAACAGTAAACTACACTTACGTGTAGCAATCTTTAGAATGATTGTGCAGGAAAATAAACAGTATATTCTGTTTCAAGATAATGTCCAATCTCAGTCACTTGATCTGAAATTTAAATGTCGATCAAGACTTAGCATGATCAAACACTTGATCAAACTTTTCCCTTCTTTCCAAAAGTTTGCTTGTTCTGATGACATTCAACAACTTGAAGAAAAAGAAGACAGAAAGTGTGACTCACTCTTACTATTCATGACTCAAGGTGCATTAAGTCAAGAACATTACAGCAATGGTTGAAGGAAATGTGGTGAGCTGTTCAGAGGGCAGTGCACGCACACAACGATGGCATCGAAGGGACCGGGGGGGGGGGGGGGGTACTAATGATTATCCATAGAGGGTGGGGGGGGGGGGGGAGGGGAATGATCTATCAGGAAAGTCCCCATGCCTCACTTCAGCTGACTCAGAGTCTCAATTTATCCACTCAAGTTCAGTTTCTTTCCCTTGACTAGAATCCCAGATGAATTTCCAGCAACAGGGTTTCAAGTTTGAGTCATTTGCTGTTTGTAATTCCATGTTCTATTTAAGTATTTTGTGTGGAAAGTTTTTAACTCTTACAAGAGGTTACTTTGCAATCTTGAAAACTCTAGTATAATGCTGTACTTCAAATTCCAATGAATTCATGATGCACTCCATTGTTTTCCTTATCAGTTTAGTAGACAATCACATCAATGAATACAGTAACAATTCATCTCCTTTTTGGCTTACCGGTTTGTTTTTTGCCAAACAGTTTAAATAAAAGTGGCTCCATGACGTTTTTACACCACTGTACCTCTGTACACTTGTCCCTCTTTAACATCCGCTCCACGTAATGTCATTTTTCTGCCTACAGTCGTGACTTCCATTACGAAATGGCAAAACTAAACTCATTGCCTGATGAATCACAGATTTGCACTTAATCAAATCCCAAAAAGTGATGGGATGCTGAGACTTGGGGGCGTCTCAGATTTCACGACAAAATTGAAGGTTGAGTGCAGCATTTTATGTGTCCAACTGCCTTAACTCAGGAATGATTACGACGAAATTGACTTATCAAGTTGGTGACATGTTATGTTATCAGACAGCTTTGGATAATTTCCCCTGATAAGTACATGTATCTTGGAAGCTTACCCCTCTTTCCCTATCCCTATTTTCTTTGTTCCGTTTTTTTTGTCAGTCCAAAATATTGGTTTGATACTTTTTTATGAAAACAGTTTATATTGTTTTTATTCTTGGATGCTTTGAGAAAATTAAAAGTATCAATTGAACTACCGTTTAAAGTTAACAAGTTCGCACCAGATGACGTGTATGTACACGCAAAGGTTTTGCGGTATTCGGAACGGATGACGGGTTAAAACGCAGGGAGTGAGGCCGGAAATATCTGTCAATGACCCGCTCGCAGCGAGCTACAGTAGGCCGGAAATATGAGTGTGATCCCTAAGGGTGATGGCTTCAACCCGCCTGGCTTGAGGTCGAGAGAAAAGTAATCCTGCACCTCGTTCCATTCTTGTCAAAATAATCCCGGCGCAAACTGGTTAAGAAAGGAGGCCTATGCAAAACTGTGAACACTTTCCAGTTTTTACTTTGTTGAAATGCTAACCACCTGTGGAACATGAATTTTGACATAAAAACCTTCTAAATCTTAGTTCTTGCCTGTTTTCTGAATGGTAAGAAGGTACATTACATGTAATATGCATGTAAAACTGTAAAGCTGTTTTCTGTTACTTTAAAAATCTTGTGTAAAACATGTACATGTACCTTCATTAATCTATATTCGTGTTGTGACCATGCATTATTATAGAGTCAATTGTGTATACATACTGGTTGTGTAACACGCATTCTGGTTTTGTAAATATGCATACTCGTGTGAGTTAGATGCATGTGCAAATTAGAGCCGCTGAATTTATGGTTAAGTCAGAAACGAGTTGCCATTTTTTTTCTTAACAGAGGCCGAACCAAGGAAGTAGCTTGGAGCAATGTAGCAGTGACTTTTGTGTTCTGATTGCTCATGTTGCTTCCGGTTACATCATGTATTATGCACTCAGCATGACTTGAGATTAACCCAAGCTGAATTTCCTCCGGGCTGATTTCTTTTCTTTCCTCTCTCAATTCTCTCTCTTTGCCTCATTGAATTGCCGCGTTAATTAAACTCTCCTGGTCATTAATGCATGGTGGGTTACGGCCCGGCAATGCATTAGCATGCCATTAGACTTTCAAAGCATTACAGGCTGATTAACGGCTAGTTAGACTCAGAAAATTGATGAGGAACAAAAGTGGGGAGAGTTGTTGCTATTGGTGAATTAGGACATTTTTTAGGAAGATGTTTCTATGGGTATGAAAGCTGAAGTTGAAATAATGAGGAAGAATTTATACATTTATGTGTCTACATAAAAATGGGGGGTGGGGCGGGGGGTTTAAAATGTCTTCAACTTTTTTCAAGCAGTCTTTGGCTATTAAATGTGCAATTTCAGGCAAGTCTCAATAAATCTACAAGTCGGCCTATACTCTCCCACTGTTCATTGTTGTAAGTCCCACCTTCCAGTTTTTGGGGTGGCAATGCTTCCATGTTTTCCTACAAATCAGTGTTTTTACAGTAACGTAGAAACCTACAGTCAGTGCTGTATACTTACATCACTCAGTTTTGGCTTAAAACAAAAACAGAGGGTAGCTGAAGTGGATGCTGCTTAATTGGTTGAATTTTATTTTGATTGACTTGTTAAGCATGTTTTTGGTAGGGAAGTACCGGTAGAGGATTCATATAGGATTGCACCTTCTTGTAGCCCCTGTGAACATAGCTGGATGTTGGAAGGACTTCAAGTCTCTTACGTGCTTTATTTCTTAACAAAACAAGATATTCATTCCAATTGACAGTTTAGTCTGAGTCCTTCCTGCCTTCTTCTTGCGCTTGCAGTGAAAAAAAGAGAAGAAATCAGGAACATTAGCCAGAGACTAATCAGTCAGTGACAGCAGGGGAATAACCTTCCCTAGAGGGATCCCACAAAATTCATGTAAAGTAGCGAGGGGGCTTGCGCACACTTCAAAGCAGTAAAAGCCCCCTTTTTTATATCTTGCCAGGTTTGTTTGAAAAATGCCCGCACATCACTACTTTTTCTTTTCCTTCTTTTCCTTCTTTATTCTTCTTTTTTTCTCCCACTGACTCGCTTGTGAAGTCAAGAGAGCTAATTTGAATTTTATGGACCAGTCGTGGAGATGGCCATGAATTTTCATGCAGCGACGTGAAGTGCTCGTCAACGGTTTTAGGTGTCGCAGCCTGCAGCATGCTGCGACATTTATTTTCGACCTCTGCGCTGGAATCTTTTTTTCTCTTAATTTTTGCGGGCACGATTTTTTCGTGCTCCTTCCCAGGGCAAGTTTTTTTACTCGACCGGAAGTTCACACCCTGTCAAAAAGAATTTACAAATTTTAGGTTGTTGCCAAAGCTCAAGGCTATTCTTGTTCATTTCAAACCTGTTCTCGTCTTTTTGAAGGGGACTGCAGGGCTTTGTTTTTTCAGTCAGGGAATATACATAATCCTTTTGGCTGCCCTGTTCGTCAGCCTTTTAGCCGGTTTCGTTTTTTGTTTAGTACGATTAAGAAATGTGTCAAGATCTCTTGAAAACGTCCTGGAAGTATTTTGATGCAGTTACATGAGTAAGTGCGTTGTTGTGTCTGTAATGACAGATGAGACAGATCTGTGGTGAGAGAAAAAAGAACGCTTTCGCAGGAAGGCTTTTTGGCTTTTTTATCAAAAACTTGGGGATGAAAATAAGACAAAAATAAGGTCTTGATGTGAGGAGAACAAGAATTTTTTTATGGGCCTGTACAATCAAGAATTGCTTTGGGGTTATTTTTGTATCTACACTTTGTCGTTGGTGGTCAATCCTGTTCTTGCATAAACCACAACTCCTCGGGCAGTTTTGTCGAAATAATCCACCGCAAGAAAAGATTGGCATATTCTTTGTACTCCTCTTAACTTTCAAGGAGGATCAATGCCACATGTAAGTGTTAAATAAAAGTGGCTGTGCTCTTACTTCTTCAATCCTTCAATCTTTTGTTTTTATCTTACGTGGAAAGTGGACAGGTTTGAAATGTAGAAAAGTAGGCTGTAGGAAAGTTAACTGTACAACATATTTTGGGGGTAGGGTCATTGAAACTTGAATTCAGACTTATTCCCGAAATATTCCAAGTATAAGTTGTCATCTAGTATGCTTGAGGAAATTGTCGCAGAGTGACACATTAGATCAACACAGTCAAGAGCATTTTGTGGCCAAAATTGCTACTTGGAGTGTTTGTGCAGCGCTCGGGAAATGAAAGTTTAAAAGCTTCAAGAGTGCATAAATGTTTCACCAGAAAACAACGCCATCTCTCTTAGAATTCGAATTTCTAAGTAACCCCAAGGGAAAAATAATCCAACCTTCGTTCCTGTCTTCTGAGTTTCTTGTAGCTAAGTGCTCAGTTTATCGATAGAGATATTCTAAGTTGACTGTGACTGGTGAACAGTTTGTCTACTTCAAACATTTTAGTTGAAGGAGGAATGTACGAGTGCTTAGCCATCCTTTTCAAAAACAGATTTTAAAAAGATGATTTTTTCCCCTAGGATTTTAAAATAAAAAAGGTTTGTATTTAGTCATTGTATTATTTTTGTCAGAGTAATAGCCACTCTGACACTCTACCATTATTTACTTCATTCTGACTCATGGGGGTGAGTTTTTGTTTTAGTAATACAAAATTTTGGTTTTTGGTTTTTGTTTTCAGAGAATCTTGAACCCGATGTCAAACAGCGTGTGGTGTTTGTCACGGCCAGAGTGCACCCTGGAGAGACCCCTGCGTCCTATGTCTGTCAAGGTCGGTAGTCCTCTTCAGTAGAAAAAAAACAAATGTATCAATCAAATTTATGACAATAGCTATCCTAAAACCAATTGGTACAATTGAAGAAGGATCCACAGTTAGAAATATTGTTTGAAAGGATCTACTCATGAAAGTTGTGCTTGCATAATGCGGCCACTTGATCTCACCTGTTCATTCTAGCTATTGGCCTCTTGTTTCCAGCTACCAGCCTGGTCACCTTGTCATTGTGTCCACCTGTCCATTGTGGTCAGATCACCTGTTTGTCCAGGCTTTCTGTCCATTGTGGCCACTTACGCTTCACGCCCAGTTTTTACTTCCTAACATGTAAATTCCACTTTCAGAACTTATTTTACATGGGTAGAGTAAGACTTGTTGCTCTGTTTTGGGCCTGTGTTTTTCTTCTTTAGGACTGATAGACTTTTTACTGAGTCAGCACCCAATAGCCAAGGTTCTACGTGACCACGTGGTGTTCAAGATTGTGCCAATGCTGAATCCTGATGGAGTTTATCTTGGCAACTACAGGTCAGGATTAAAGGCAGGGGAGGGAGGGGTGGAGAGATGTTACTGAGCAGGGAGGGGTAATCTAAAGAAGCAGTTGGTACAAGACAAATATTGAATAAAAATTGTAGGAAAGTTTAAATATAAGACCCTCACTCATTGAGGACAGGTTTTGTTGTTGGAATTCACTGACAATGAAAGTACAAAGTATCTGCTCATGTTTATCACTGTCCTGACCGAGGGTACATCAAGCAAACTCTCCATAGACTCCATGCACAAACAGTACATGACGCTTGTTTACCAATTTTGAAAGCCGCAGTGGGCAGGACACCTGTATGCGTGTCTGGTTTGTGCGCATGTGGCGTGAAGAGCGCACGAACAAACATGCACAAACTTGTGGTGCCTTCGCCTGTGTGTCTGGTGCTGGCGCTGATTCGTTTGATTGTCCCCCCCAGTGGTCTTCCCCAACTCTCCGTTTGTAACCGTTGAGGGGGTACTTTTACACAGAGTCCATTTTGAATTGAAAATTGTCAATTGAACTGAAGCTTAATCTGAAAACTTTACGCTAATAAAACTTCTGGTGAGGACAAGCAACAACTATTGCTCATGTTTACACCAATGACGTCTCGTCTGACCATGCACCTGACTGTTTTGCCCCCGCCTTGTCCACTCAGGTGTTCCCTGATGGGTTTTGATCTGAACAGACATTGGCACGAACCATCGCCCTGGGCTCACCCCACGCTACATGCCAACAAGCATCTGCTCATGGATATGAACGCTAGTAGTGTAAGTTCAACGAACCTCCGGTAAACTGGAATATCATTCGGGCCGTCTGACAATGTGATTGTACTTTAAAGGCATATCAAATCATTTGCTTTTCATGCATTTTGTTCGTTTCCAATAATAACACCTCTGAAAATTCCAAGAAGAATGTTCAAAGCCCAACCTGTTGAAGTTTCAGCTCAGTGGATATTACACTTTTCAAGAAAACAGTGAAAAACGATGCACAACCTTTTGATAACGAAACATGATTTCGACCATAGCACTCTTTCTTTCCCAAAAATCAGTCAATCGATTGATCGTTGGAAATCACCTACATTTCTTAATTTCTTCTAAATGACAGCAAGTCAGACGGAACAATTTTATGGGGTGTTTAGTACTAGTACGATCTTTAATCCAAGTGAGCTTTTTGATAATAATTTGGTAGGTTACATTTGGGATAAATGCAAATGATCCTGTCTGTGTTTAAGAGAGAGATTTAAACTGAAAGAAAACAGTTTAGGCTAAGGAATAAAGAAAAAAAAGGAATAAAATGTTCTGAATTTTTTTTTAGACACATTCATTATAGACTTTAAATGAATTCTAAGTAAACATTTGTGCCAAATGAAAATACTATTTATGACTGAGTTTGTGTTGAGTCGTGTGTAATGCGTTCACCGTTCTGTTAAACACCCATGTAGAAGATGGATGTAGATTTCTACATAGACATCCACGCCCACTCTACGCTGATGAACGGTTTCATGTACGGCAATGTGTACGATGATCCAGTGCGCTACGAGAAACAAGCCGTGTTCCCCAGACTGATGTGTGCTAACGCTGAAGATTTCTCAATGGTAAGTGAAAACATGGCAGGGTCTGAAATGGGTATTCTTTGGCTACGACTCTACTTTTTGGCCATTGATGAGCTGTGGAGTTAGCCATAGCCTGAGGCATTAATGCTTCAAGTTAGTGTGACTTTGAGTTAACCTTCAGTTACCTTTACAACAATGGAGATAGATCTTTATATATACATGTATGGCTTAGTCTGAATCAGCTATTTTATGGCTTCGGCTTCCATTTTGATATTGGAGCCTTTGGTGAAAAGTCATAGCAGTAGTCAAATATGCCTGTTTCGGACATGGCTAATTTCAAGTTATAATATGTATTCACAGTTTTCCCAGCCTTAACTTTGAAACTCTGTTAGTTGAATGGACAAACCCATTCTCAACCAAAAGCATAATAGTATTTCTGTAGATGAAAGAAATCGCTAAAAGTTGTTAAATTTGTATTGCCTGCTGAAAATGTAATTCACTTTCTTCCATTGAGCCAATCCCTTCATTTGTATCCATGGGCGTCGCTAGGATTTTTTCTTGAGGGGGGCAAAACATATTTTTACCCCCAAAAATACTGTATTTCTCAACATTTTCTCGAATTATCAGTTTTAGAGGGGGGCAGGGACATCCCCCCAACCCATTAAATTTACACCACTATGACTTCGCGCCTCTTTTTCTTTTCTTTTTTCCTCTTTTTTTTTCTTCCTTTTTTTTGTGTTGGCTTTTCCGGGGGGGGGGGGGGGGGGGGGGGGGGAGCAAGCGCCCCCTTGCCCCCCCTCGAGACGCCCATGTTTGTATCGATGACCTACCCTGATAACCAGCCATCAAATAGATTTTACCGTGAAGTTTCTATTCTGGTTCCCCTTTGACATTCCCACAACCTTGAGGAGAAGATTTTTTACTCTTCCCACTCCTGAAAGTACAAATGTCCTCTTTCCTCTACACCAAACATCCTTGCAGTTTTTTTTATATAAATAGTATTGCTCATGGCACAGACCTGATGTATTAGATTATAGTGGGGTGCTAATGGCATTAACGTACCCTGACGTACGTGTACAAGGGCGTGTGTGTAATCCTCACAACTTACCCTTCTTCTGTTCCCAGTCATTCATTAGGACTCACGGATTCAGTCACGTATTGTTTTTTTCTTCCGCCATTCCACAATGGAAGGGGGAGGGTTATTATCTGGAGGATTTCTAGCCCTTAAATTCTTGAAACCGAACATTAATTGTCTGCCTGAATTTGTTGGATGTACCTGTACAACAACGATCTGTTGATTTTTGGAGTTATAAAAATGCAATCAGTTGAATAATTGAGCTATTAAGTAGGAAGATGATTTGGATTTTTCTTAATTAAAGTCCGGCCTTGGATTATGGTTTGGATGAATGCAAGGGCTTTTTCTTCATGGATGTGTCATGACATTCATTCCAATTGGATATCTTTTTCCACATATTGCAGGCGTGAAAGTTTTTGATTCTCATAGTTCTATTTGTCAAGGGATACCTTCTGAGAAGCCTTCTTATGAAATGACATGACCAGTCACCAATTCTTATCCAGATACCAAAACTGATCTTCATTTTTCTTGGGGGAAAAAACCCAATATTTTGACTTCGAAGTTGTCGCATTCGTCACGTTTTTTTCTTTTTATTCTTTTGTAAATTTGAGTGTGTGTGGAGGTGTATTTTGAAAATTATTTTGTGACCATCGTGTTCAGAGCATATTCATGTGTATTCAGTGATTGTCCTGATGCCCTGTAAAATGTAAATTAAATTGAACTGCGTGATTGATTTATTTTAATAAAACTGTTTAAGTATCTAATTTAGTTTTTACAATGAAGACAGATCGGTGAAAGCAGACCAATATACCAACGTTTTTAGGTTGTAAGTGAACATCAATAAACATTTATCAAATCACAAGTAGATAATTAATTTCAATTCAAGAGAAATAATGCAATGAAAGACAATATGAATGATGACTAGGGACTCAGATTTTAAATAAATTGTCTGTAATTCAGCTAAATTGATTGAAAAATTGACCGAAAATGCTATTTTTCATTGGACTATCAGTTGCAAAATTTGATAGGAAAAACGAAGAGTTAAAAACCCACTGACAACTACTAAATGTTAGGATGATTGTTCATTGGAGAAAAAAGGATGATTTACATGCACATATGTTAAACTTAATGGCAGTTCATGATTTGAAAATGGTCACATTTGGTGGTATTCACTTTTGTTGTCAGATGATTTATCAGTGCAGAAAATCCATCGTCAGTGAAGGATGGATGTAATATTTTAAGTTTTTCAATATAGAGGATGCTTGAAATAAGCTTTGAAGTTGTTTCGGTGTTTTTATACCCTTCTATTTCTTCAGCAGTTTAACTTGCTGTGTTTGATATAGAAATAAAGACATTAGCTGTGGTTCTGTTTTTCTAGGCCATTATCTTTGCTCCAAGAGACAAACTCAAAATTCTGAATTCTGAGATAATCCGTGAACAACCACCAAGTTAGCTTTCACTCTAAAAAAAAAACCACTTCAAAGTTTTTGCCTTGAAAATGTGTCTTAGCCAATGGGAATGAAGTATTAACTTCACATTCAACATGAGTCATTTATGAATCCATTGGCAGCAAACAAGGAAAATAAAACCCTTATCAATCAAAGAGACAAGAAATTCTGTCTCAGAGCGGGATTTATGAGGTAAGAACATTTTCCCGTCAGGTGTAACAGATTTAAGAATTAGTCACACGTCAGACAAGCTGACAATCCATCCACCTGGCAATGTTTTTGGCGCCAAATCCATCGTAGTAAAACAAAAAGCAAAGAAGCGAGTGTGAGAGAGAAACGTAACCTTGACGCAGATGAATTCAGTGTTTTTAAGCATGAGTTAGTGGGTGAGTCAGCGCTGAGCCAGAGTACATTCCGATAGTCTGTAGTGGGTCTGGCCCCCGAGAAAAAAACAAAAAGGTCCCCAGGACGTGCATTGGGATCTGATGACATTCTATAGAGAGGGAGACGGGGGACTAGTCACACTCTATCAACTGGGAACACGTGGGTTGGCGTAATGTAGTTCCGTCCATTCCCCCCCCCCCCATCCCCGATACCCCCCTCCTTTCGGCTGATGAAGTGGCCAATACGTCACAGGCGATGACTGTACATTGCATGTATTATAGGATGAGTCTATGCGAGGCTTTGAGAGCGTTATGGAGTACAGACCAGGTATGCACAAACAATGATTCATTCCATTCAGGACACATTACAGTCACACCTGTTGAAGGAAAGTCTTGTTTTGTCCTTTTTCCTCCCTTTTTTGTGTGTGTGAGTCAGATATTCTGATTAATCTTGTGAGACTTTTGATGGGCTGTTGTTCAGCCAAACTGTTTTAGAAACTTTCTGCCCCCTCATTCGTCTATGTCACTGCTGAAACAAACAAAAATATAAAAAAAATATAACAAAAATAACAAAAATAAAAAATAAAAAGCAAAGAAAACCAAATGTAAAAGAACCCCAGCAACCACCCCAGAAAACGTGAACATTTTGAAAATAACCCTTACCAAACAATGAAGTGGCCATTTGTTGGTACTCCACCCTGTCTTCTTCACAGTGCATTTGGATGGTCTTTAAGGGATAGTCAAAAATCTTTACAGATGCATTAGAACATTTCGAAAAAAAAAACCTCCCCCCAAAAAACCACCCCACACAAACATACAAAAGCAGTTGCATAAGGCACGCTAATTAATATGTGGGTGTTTCAGCTGACATCTATGATTTTGTAATTCTAGATTCACTCCTTAATCCAGTTGTGCTCCAAGAATGATTATAAGTAGCAAACAACATGTACTTCCCGACAAAGAAAGTGTCGTTTAAATTCATCCTTAATGTGCTTGAATGGCGAATGGCAAATTACAAAGATCTGAGGTAGCGGAGAACAGGAAAAGACCCATATTGGATAGATGTCATCACACATTACATTAAGTTTTACGTTTCATTTACACATTTAGAGTTTTTGTCACTGACAGTGTAGTGATGCCTAGTAGTTTGATGTTGGTTTCCCAACTAACCATGCTGGTAAACAGACGAGGGCGCTGTTGTAGTTTTACAGACACCACTTCAAGTGATGTTTTTTCACATTAATGCAGTAGTGAACACTCTTTCTCTTTGTAGAGCGCTACATTCACACATTCATTTTTAAATGAGGAAAATTCTGTGACTTTTTTCAAGATGGAATATAATTTTTTGTGTTTTTTAAATATGTACACTGTGATAGCCTTTTAAAGGCTGTAAAACTTTTTGACTATATTTTAAACTGACGATTTCACTTTCTGTCAAAACAGAAGGTTGAAACCTTCTGTTGTATATCAATAAAATGAGACTGTCCTTTGTGGTTGCTTCTTGCTGATAAATTCAATTCCTTCAATTCCTTAGACTTGAGTTGATTTTTCATTGACAATGACAAATCTGAATATCTGTTTAGAATTTCTCTCAATCTTTCAGTTGTGCAGAACGACAAAGCTCTGACATTTTTTTTCCTGCTCTGATGAAATATTGTCAGTAGGGGAATCTCTGAAAGTCCTTTGCATATTTTGCTCCCTCAGGAAATTGAATGTGGTTATGTGAAGGGCACGCATTAACCAATTAGAACTAAAAGCCCAGCGCGTTATCGTACTCAGGTCTATTATGTCAAATTGAAGGGTCTAATCAGGTAGCACGCACCAGGAAAGCTGTCAGTGCTACCAAAGACTCACAATCTAAAAAAAGAAGACGAAATCCTTTAAAAAATACGGAAGAAAGAGTTAAAAAAAAAGCAATGCAGAAACTGCCTCAAGCTTTTTTCTTGTTCGTGTGTTAAATTGCTGTTACGACAGATGTTTTTGGGGGGATTTTTGCTGTTCATTCACCTCGGAATGTAAGATTTTCTAGATGTGCGGAGGGTTGTCTGCGATTGATTATGAGAAAAGGAGGGGATGGTCAGTGATGGATTTGAACCATTAGTTCATACTCTTCATGTTTTAGGGGAGTATTTTTGGAGTGCAGGTCTTGTGACCAGAGATTTATTTCACTCAAGTTATTTAGGAAATAGAGAATTTGTGAACAACAACTTGAAGGCCATTTGTGATAGAAATGCTGTTCGAAAAGGAAATTTGATCGTTTTCGTGGAAATGGTAGTTTTCAGGTGGGGTGGCCATCCTGGCAGCTATGTTTTGTAATTTTGAAGGGGGCAAAATGGAAAACACATTGGGAGAAAAATCTTTGATGTATGTTTAATTTTTGTTCTTAATTTTTTTTCATTTTTAAGTTTTCATTTCATATTGCTGTCTCAGTTTGTTTCATTTTTCAGCTGAAACATGTTTTGAAGTTTACATTTCAGTGATTTTGACAGCGCTCAGTCCTTGACGTACATGTATGTTCAAAGTCAATGTCATAGCATAAATATAAAAAATAAATATAGTCAGTTTTCTTTTGCTCTTTGTTTTTGATGATTTCAAGAGAACAAAAATATAGTCAAAATCAATGATCCTGATTGCTGTTTGCTGGATTTTCTGAAAGCATGCATGACCGTGTACATCATCTTGGGATCGCAACGTGGCTTCACAGTCACCTTTTTAAGCTTATATAGTTTACATACAGTTGGGTTCCAGATGAAATGTACTCTTAGTAAACGTCCACTTAGCCTGGGAAATCCAATGTATGGGAACTAAATATGCCAAATGTAACTAAAACTATTCCATAATTCACATGGTTCTTTAATTGATTCACTTTTGTGTTTCTCATTTTTCCAAACAGATGAACACATCATTCAACCGTGACGCAATGAAGGCAGGTACAGGGCGCCGGTTTCTGGGCGGTATCCTAGATGAAAACTCACTGTGCTATACGTTAGAGGTCTCCTTCTTCTGTTATGCAACTAACGGTGGCAGCACGCTGGTGCCGTATGATGAAGAAGGATGTATCCTTGCTAATTAGGCCAGGAAGTAGAATACTGGCAAAAGTAACAATGTGGCTTGGATGATCTGCGTTTAGCAAAGGTGATAGTTGATGCAGGAATAGATGCTGGCATTGTGTGGTCACTCACAACAGCTCCAGTGTGTAGGGTATGGTACTTGCAAAGTGTTGTAGTTGACTCCATCACAAGTAAATGACAAGTCCATTCATAAGCATGGGCGATTTTTTCCAGAGGGGGGCAAAGCACATTTTCCCCCAAAATTCCTGTTCTTTCGCATATTCTCAATTTATCACTTTTCGAGGGTGGACAGGGACATTTGCCCCCCCCCCACCCAACCCATTAAATTAACAACAATACGACTTTGTGCCTCTTTGTCTTTTTTCTTTTTTTCTCTCTTTTTTTTCTTCTTTTTTTGTGTGCCCCCCTTGCCCCCCCCCCCTCGAGACACCCATGTTCATAAGTCCAGTCATAGGTAATGGTGGATGAACAATAGCAAAGGAATGCCTTTGAAGTTGTTTTGAATAGCTTGGAATAGAATTGGGACTGGGTGACTTGATATGACCCCCCCCCCCCCCCCCCCCCCCTGTCAGAAGTGTCCCTCCCTCCCATTACTGGCAACTGACTTATCAACTTCAGACATCAAGCTTCTTAACCAGTTTTACTTCCAGACATGCGTCTTGGACGTAACCTAGCCAAGACATGTATGGACTACTACAAGCTAACATCACTCATCCAGCCTAAACCCACCATCCTGCCACTCAATCACACACAGGTGCAGTACAAGTTCTCAGGTTTTAGCCATTTCAAATTTGTGTGATTATTGCTTTCAATCAAGAAGTATCAGAAATAGATTTACTAGTTTTTTTTGATTTTTTTTTAAATCTGAGACCTTAGAATTGTTGCTATCCTACTAATTTTCATATAATTCTCAGACCATTTTTATTACTGTTTGAATTCCAGTCAATATCGTTCAGCCCTTTTTGATTGTTCCTAATTTTATTCAGTGGCTTTGACCGTAAAAACAGTGTCCTGTAAGATTGTGAAATCGTTTCCAAATTGTTCCTTAAAATGTCATATAGCTCACAAAATTAGCAATAACATTTAAGATGTTTTTTTTTAAGTAAACGATCCAAGATCCCATCATAAAGGAAAAAAATCAGTATAAATGAGCCGTAAATATTAGATATCGTTCATTAATATTTCATATGTATTTGAGGCAGTAAGGGCTCTTCTTTTTATTCTTTGTTAGCTTGGCTAAATATAAAGTAGCGGTTTTGCCGCGAGTGATAATTTCTGAGACACGAGCGGCAACCAAACACCGGCTTTTTTTGAAGTCGCACCGCTCTGGCATCAAAGATGAATGGCGGTGGAAATTCCACTCCCTTGTCGAGGGATTTAGTGAGTTGGATCTTTCCGAACCAAATCTTGCGCTAGTCTCTGTGAAGGAATACAGATGCCATGACTTCCAGATTATAGGAGAATGCCGGCAACAATTGTCCAGGGGAAACGGGAGGGTGGAAAGGAGTTGTGGGTTGGGGGGGGGGGGAGTTGCAGTGCCTGGGTTGGCCATTGTAGAGTCGTTCAACTTAAACCAAGATTTGGAAATTGTGTTCTTTAGAATAGATGTGATTGAAGTGGGTTGTTTTCTTGGGGGGGGGGGTTGCAAATTAGTGGATGATATTTGCCAGTGTTTGATAGGAAAAAAATGACCCCTCTTCCAAAATCAGACATCTGGTGTAAAGAAATGAAATTTTGGGAAGTTTTTGGTTTGAGTTTGATGTACATGTATACTGAAAGATTTAACAGAATTTGATGACGTTCATGTATACTGAAAGATTTAACAGAATTTGATGACGTTCATGTATACTGAAAGATTTAACAGAATTTGATGACGTTCATTTACAATGTATATAGGTAGTAATTGTCTTAACTGATAATCAACTGAACATGGAGTGTAAGCAAACATTATTTGCGAACATTGCCAACCTTGGTTGTTTTTCTAGAGGTTTTTTTTGGTGGGGGGGGGGGGGGAGTAATCTGTAATTATTTCTATGCTGACCGGGGTGGGAATTGAACCCTTGTCACCGGGACAGAAGATGAAAGGATAATTGAACCAACCCAATGTACAGATGCAATGAATGTGCTTCACAAAAAGACAAAACTACATGTGCATCAGTTTTGATATTGGTTCTAGCTTGTTTATTAGAAACGGACAGACCATAAGCAAAAAAAAAAATCTTTTGAGTTCATCGACCAGTAGGACTTTGTTCCGCAGTGCCGCAGGGCTCCTAATTCCTCACATTCGTAATGTTGTGCAACTGGTTTCTGGCCACTAATCAACCATGCCACATGTGGCATAATGTTCAATCAAAAAGAGAAAATAAGAGCCAGAACACCTGATGCTTTTAGCGTTAAATCAATTAGTCCGTTAAGAGATCAATGGGGAAGGGACGTAATGGTCGGGATGTCGTTGTGATGAGTACATTAATGGAAGTTTGATGGGTGGGCTGGGAGCGCACTGCAGGGATGATGGGGGGGGGGGGTGGTGGTTTACGGTGATGGAAGCATTTCAGTTGTGGCTCTAGGGGCTTTCACAGTGGGTTGATTTTGGATATTTGATCAAAATTCAGAGGAAAAGTTGTAGATTTGAAGAACGCCGTGATGGAGTCCAATACTGCAGTGACATAGCATTCATTCTCAGTGCCTCAATTTTTGGAGCTATTCCCAACACGAACAGGTCAAGTTTTTCTCAGATCTAAGAAAGAGCTATTAGTATTTGTTTTCATTCCTTCCAACTTGGATTGTTGCATTCTCCTCTGCTCCTTTCAGCAGGATTAACAACTCGTCCTGACCAAAATAGCCCTTGGTTCTTTACATTGTTTTTGATTCATGAGGTTTTGTATCAATTTGTCATTCAGTGACTGTTGAGCAGCTGTTTTCGTGATATGTGCAAAGAATTAATGCCAGATTGTTGCTAGCTACGGGGTTATTTCACACTACATTTAGACCCAGCCCTGGGGTCTGTAGCGGCCATTGACCCAAGTTGCTCTGATATATCTTCTTTATGTTACCAACTTCCACAAACAATCTCAGAAGTCAAGTCGCTGGCTTTTCTTTGGCTCTGATGGGCATTATTGGGATCCCAGGGCATCATTACTGGAGGAGTTAATCAGTTTTTCACAGTTTTAATCAAAACTAAGCTCTTTTTTTGGCCGTCCATCTTCTGGGTGGAGAATTGGGACCTTCGGCTTGCACCATTATCTGTGGCCACTGCAGACCCCTAACTGATTTTAATTTTAAACCACACTTGTATAAGTGCTCTACGACCTAGCTATCTATAACCTTCCCTAATTTCATTGTTTGTTTCTCTTACAGAGACGGAAGGGGTCATCCAAAGGTCACAGGTCAGAGGGCAGGCCACATTCAGAATCCCGCCAGTACCAGTCCCTGAGGGCAGATGTCGTGTATGACAACCACAGTCTGAGTGCCCAGAGCATGAACAGCATGGCGGTACAGTTCAGATTACAGCACAGGGATATACATAGGAGGTAGACAAGGCACAAGACTTGGAGGGCAGTAGAAATATCTGACAGGGCAATAGTAACGGACTATAGCCCCCACAGAGCATGAACGGCATGACGGTACAGTTCTGGTTACAGCACAGGGATACACAGAGGTAGACAAGGGACAAGACTTGGAGGGCAGTCTGACAGGGCAATAGTTGAAGATTATTGCCCTCGTAGAGCATACAGTGTGGAGACAGTAAATATGATGTCATGCACTCACTTGTGATTGTATCACACTCTGCTACTCTGTGTACAGTTTCTGTTTGTGTTGCTGAATTGCCTATTTTTGTTCCCAAAGAATCTGTTAAGTTAAACAGAAATATAGCCCATTAAGTAATTGAATGTAATGTACTGGGTGCATTGTGTACAAGACTAGCACATGACCTTGAACATATACACCCGATTGCGGTGAATAATGTACATTTGTATTAAAGACCACACATATGTTGTATATAGCATCAGACTCCGTCCAAAGATTGTTCTGTATAATAAAATTGCAGAATTCTAAAGAACACGCACAGCCTTAAAATGACCAGTGTCCATATTTAATTAATGTTTATTAATGAATGCTTTAATTACTTTTAACTTAATGTATTTCCTTTAAAAAACCAAATAGCGTGTAGTTTAAAGTATACTTTATTTTTTTTTTTGTCAAAAAGTTACAGTATTTTGTTTTGACAAAAGCAAAAGTTGATCAATTTTCAGTGAAAATTTGTGAATTTCAGTAGGATTTGGTATTTACTGGTGAGATATATTTGCGTATTTTAATTAAAATTTAAATAAAGAATTTGATAATGAGTGTGACAATGGAGGAGAACATTAACCCTAGCAGAAAGACGCCATCTTTTGCTCATGCCTCGTGATGTGTCACTTGCCTTAAGCTTATCTTCCCTCCCCCCCCCAATCCTCCTGGCAGCATTAGGCGACTCTTTAAACAAAGCGACGTTTGCTGTGAAACAAAAAGCGTTTGCTCAGTAACAGGTGCATGGGGGACAGGCACGCCAAGATGTCTGGCTCGTAGTGCGACGGTCTGAGAGTGGGGTCATCCGTTATAACTTTGCGTTCATTCTTTATCTAGTAAGCATTTTGGATGGTGTCAATCATGTCTAGTGGGGCAGTTTGATATGTGACCAGCTCCAACAAATTCAAAACATATTACATATTTAGGCTTTAATTTGGACTAAACTTTAGGCTTTTTTTTTTACAACAGACACAAACAGAGTGAAATTTTGCTCAAGCAATTCAGCCATATTTGTTATCATGTGTGAGCAGTACTCATACAGGCCAAGCATTTTTGCATGTTAATTTGTCGAACTAGAATTAGGAATACACACCGATGGAAAGGGGTGCTGTTGTGAGCTGGCAAAAAAGCGTCCTTTACCAAAGTTTGTTAAGCAGTTATTTCTAATTAGAAGCTCTGTGGCATTGACACTTGTGAAGTAAGCAAGTTACTTTCCCCTAAAATCAAGAAACTTTCAGTGGACTCGCTTTTCGTCACCTTATAGCCTACATACGAGTATATAGATCACTTTGGTTCCGACTCGCCTCGGATTCATTTGAAGGGTTGTAGTCACTCTGTCTGTGCTTGGTCTCAGCTGTACACACCTCGGTTTATTGACGGAGTAAGCCAGATGTGTGATAAGTCTGCTCTAGTAAACTCAATTAATCCCAAGTTTGACTGATGGCTGATCAGTGGAGATACTGCGCCATGCCTGGAATTCCTTGGGAGTTCAATAGATATTGCACAGTGTTCTTAGGGGAAGGAGGCTGGCCTTTATTGCAAAAAGTTACTGGCGCTGAATTCATTGCACGTTTCAGTGGGACATTACAGAGTTGGGTCAAACCATACAGTGTTAGTATTGTAACGGACTAGGCTAATGTGTGAAGTGGGCAGTAGCCTGAATGGGCAATGTCCATAACTAAAAGGACAACCAACAAAAAAGACACAGCGATACAGAAAATGTTACAGTGGTAATGCTGGTGGCTGGAGTAAATGGCAAAAGCATGTGGAAAGTAATTAAACTGGAAACAAAAGTAATAAAGAGGGGAAAATCCAGAAATAAAACCACAGAGACATACCTGCAAACCCTTTTGATGTGACTCCAACCTGCTGGACAGCAAAAGCCGGTTTCAGGTCGACTTGTGATTTGCTCGCACTGTGAGGGAACCATCGGCATCAAGTGTAAAACTCATGATCAGGTAAAAGAAACCTGAGAAATCATGTGATTGTCATGGAACGAGCGGCATCTTGACATAGAACAACTGCAACCATGCTCACGTCACGACGATTCACAATAAAATTAGACGATCCTGGTGCAGGTACAACATCGTAACTTCACAAAGGTCGATTGCGATTGATTCCCACATGTCGGGACCACGTTCAGGCATGGCACAGAAGTTGAAACTTTTTACTCTTGTGACTTGAATTTGTTTTAGCACCAATTGATGCCGATTGTCTTATTATCATCTAAGTTACTCTCACGTTGCAAAAACACGTGATTGTAATATTCCCAACGGTCATGAATCAGGCGCAGCTTGATCCTAAAAGCCAGTCGCAGACTGTTCTGTCTTGTAGTAGCAAGATCCAAACTGATTGTGGCTTAAAATGACCACACCTCCACCACAAGCAGCACATTTTGGTACATTTACTTGGTCTCTAACTCGCTTGAAAGAATGGAAAGTATGCACAACCAAAGAAAAGTATGTCTGTCTTTGTAGTGGCCTGCCAGTGCCAGGGCTTGACAAGCTTGGGCAGTCAAAGAATTTGAAGCATGGGGGTTTTGTTGTTTTGGGAGAAGTAACTTGGGGCAAGAATGTAGGTGCTTAAAGATATGAGAAATCAAGTAAATGTTATTTGGCAGGCTATTTATTACAGTATGAGTTGGAAAACTCTAGTCGACCCAAATAGATTTTGGTTTCCAACAGACAAACTTATGTACTAATTCTCCATTGATTTATCTGGGTAAAAATGTCAAAAATATGTGTCAACATGAATACAATTTTACACCAGAAATTGATGTCTCTTTATGTATTTTATACAGAACACTCCTTGGGTAAAATAAAACCGGACATATTTGTCACATGGTTATGTTTTTACTTTCAAAATGGACCAGTCTGGTGGAGCTGCAAAGTTTTGACAATATTTTTGATCAGTAACAATTGTTAAGATTTATTGTGTGTTTTTTGGTGATTTTATGTTTACTATAGGCTTGAGCATTTATCTTGTTTTGAAAAATACTGACTGAACATAATGAAATGAGTCATGCAGATGTCCTTCACTCTTAAGACATTTAGCTCTAAATATGGATTTTTGAGGCAGGTATGACATATGACTAATAAAAAAAAAAAAAGAGGGAAAAAGTCAAAAAGTGATGTTTAATTTTAATGAATGTTTAAGACATTCCTGAAACCAAAGTTAGCTTTGCTACGTCAAGTATTTTTTTAAGTTGTTTGCTTGTAGTGTACATGTAAGCATTGCTTTCCTTACCTTGAACTTTGACCTTTAAACCCAAATTCAGTAGAAATCTTCAAAACAACATGATCAATCCACAAACAGAATTCTTTGAAAACTTCAGCATTTTCTTAAGTTATTCTGCTTACAACCCATCAATTGGTTTAGCGAGTTTTTGCCCAGACATGTTGGTTATTCATCATGCAGGTCAAAAATGAAACACGTAATAACAAAAATTACGGAGGTGAATATTTCACTTATTTCAATTTCAACTGGACACTAAAATTGATCAAGGGACTGTAAATGTGATAAAATATCTTGACTTGTGATTCATATTGAGTATCAGCGTTAAAGGCCAAAGTTTTCAGTATCAATAAAATGCAGTATAAAAGACTATCTGAAATAGTTCTCTTTCAAAACCAGACAGCTTTATTTATGTATTCCAAAGTCTGTTACATTCCAGTGTGTACATTTTACCAAAAATGCAGATTTTTGTATTGAAAATTGAATAAATGAGTGAGGCACGTGAAGCAATTATATTTTTGTTTGGTGATAGTTACTTTATTTTTTAGTTCAAAAAGTAAAGATATTCAGAAACATTTAATTAGAATTTATAATTTTGTTACTAGATTCTGTTCCGACTGAAATGAATGAACTTTCATGTGTACTTACATGTACATGTATACATAAATATATCAAACAATACTGCTTTGTCAAATTTTATCAGTAAATTTAGATTTCACAACATTTATTATTTATGTAAGGTCAAGATAATTTTGGGTAAATCTTCAGATAACATTAGCTGTACCATTTTGCTTTCCTTTACATCAAAACAAAAACCAATCATAAAAAAAAGAAAAAAACTTGAACAAGTGTATGAATTAAGTCCACATCGCGGTGCTCAAAGTTTTCAATTAGTTCAGAACATAGAAAAGATGGTGGGATTTGCTTTCTTGTTGATTGTTCAAATACAGCAGGCATTTAATTCCTGTAAATTTGTTTCAAATGCTCCAATTATAACAGATTATAACAGATCAAAGTTCTATGGTTATCACAATTTATCTCCAATTAATAAAATATAAAGCAGGGAAGTAAACAAGTTCGCTACCTCAATGGCTGTATGAGATCAAAGCATCCTGTGCCACCGGTAACCACTCTGCCGACTACCAGGCGAGCTGACGGTGACTGTAGTCTGTCACACACACCTAGAAAGTATGGGGGAATGTAAACAAAAATATGGATTACCTTTGGTTTGATAGAATAAGTGGATTTGCCGCTGATACCTGTGCTAACGATTGGCTTTATAGAGACCTAAATACAAGTTAGAGTAACATTTCTCATGAAATCAAACTGATTTCATCCTAACAAATTCCAACAATTGTAGTTTCATATGTTTGTGCACTGTCAAAACGATTTCACTTGACTCTTCACTTTGCTTGAAGTATGAATTGGCTTTTAAGTTCAACACAAGGAAGTCTAAGAACATTCCATCAAAAACTTTTACAAGAATTTACAAGAATAAACAATATTTTGCTCAGCAGTACCACAAACTCAGACCCTGGTGACAACTAACCCAAAACTTTTGAATTAATAAGCCGTACCTTGAGTGGTTGCCTGTTTGAGGAAGTGCATGGTACTCTCAAAGCTCATCTTCTGCAGCGGTGATGAGTTAGCTTCCAATCCGATGCGATTGAAGGGTCTGTAGGAGCCCTCTAGTGTCATGTAGTCGGCCACAAGGGACAGATGACGCGGGTCGACGTAGATACCGTAAACTTTGAAGACATCTTGGATCTCCTACAGAGAGTAAAAGAAGTTTGTTTTCCTTTAAGTTGTATTTTTTTAGTAATGGATAAGCACTTATGTTCAATGCCTACTTGTCTTATAACCATCTCAAAATGTGCTTAAAGTCTGATATCCACAGTTGGAGCCGGTGAACAAAGACAATTGAAATGTAGGCATGCAATTGTCCTGTGCAACTAACTTGGGAACTTGGAACATGTTTATGGAAGTAGTTGGCAAAATTAAACTTTTTCAACAAAGCTATTGGTTTTCATCACTTCTGAACATCCAGATTGCTATTACTGAGTCAACTATGACAATAAAAAAAAACAGGACAAATGCTTGTATGACAAATTATTGTACTGTAACTAAAACCCTCCAATTTTTTTCCAACTCAAAAAGTTTTTTAAGGAATCTGCAAGGTAAAGCCTACCCACTGTTACTTTACCTGGGCCTTAATGTCCACTTGGTCTAGGAATGAGACGGTCAATCTAAAAACAAGTTTGTCAATCAGATGAAAAGTCTGAAAGATGCATTTCTTTCTAAACTGATGATGACTTTCTGTCAGATGCAAAAGTCTGATTTCAGACAAAAATCGGAAAAATCTCATGCATGTTAAGGGATTCATGAAGGCTCATAGCAAACATGCCCATGGATTTTGGAGTTAATGATAATAGTAGTGTACCTTAATGATGACTCTACATGCAGCTTCTATCCCGTAGGTATTGGCCATGGCATGAATGTTGTTGGTGTACAATCGACGAATGTCTACTATCTTGTTGTGTTTACACAGCTCCTGTGAATTTAAAGGGAACAAACGCAGGAAAATAGTTTGATTGCAACTGCAGTGAAAGAGATTTGAAGATTAACGCTCCAAAAACACATCATGCAACCTGACCTGAAAGTATCAACAGTGGTTATAGCTTTACAGTTTGTAAAGTTGTTTAACTTGTCAACTCTGACATTTTTTCCCAGTGATTAAAGCACCCACACAGCAGAGCAAAACACTTTAAAAAATTATTTTACACCATTATCAAAACGTCAAGTAGGTATCACACATCATCCAAATTCTAGTCAAGTGACAAGCTATTAAAATGAAATCCGACAAAGGCGATTATAATGTTCATTCATCTCCCGCGACCTGTGACTAGTCTTTGAACCTTACTTGTGATTGGACTTGTTAACTCAAACACTCATCTAACCCCATGGACCCTTCTAGTCCCCCACCCACTCCTGGATGTGTTCTAACCAACCTGTAGGTTGACCCCACTAGTCTGTGACAGTTTCTCCCCCTCCTTCTCTCCATCAGCCATGATAGAGCAAAGTATTCCCTGTGCCTAACCCCACCCATATTTTTCACCCCTTCCCCTGCCGGATGTGTTCTAACCCACCTGTAGGTTGACCCCACTAGTCTGGAGCAGTTTTCCCCCCTTCTTCTCTCCATCAGCCATAATAGAGCAAAGTATTCCCTGTGCCTAAACCCACCCATATTTTTCACCCCTTCCCTTGCCGGATGTGTTCTAACCCACCTGTAGGTTGACCCCACTAGTCTGTAGTACTTTCTCCCCCTCCTCCTCTCCGTCAGCCATGATAGAGCAAGTATTCTCCGTGCCTAACCCCACCCACATTTTTCACCCCTTTCCCTGCTGGATGTGTTCTAACCCACCTGTAGGTTGACCCCACAAGTCTGGAGCAGTTTCTCCCCCTCCTTCTCTCCATCTGCCATGATAGAGCAAAGTATTCCCTGTGCCTAACCCCACCCACATTTTTCACCCCTTCCCCTGCCGGATGTGTTCTAACCCACCTGTAGGCTGACCCCACTAGTCTGGAGCAGTTTCTCCCCCTCCTTCTCTCCATCAGCCATGATAGAGCAAAGTATTCTCCGTGCCTAACCCCACCCACATTTTTCACCCCTTTCCCTGCTGGATGTGTTCTTACCCACCTGTAGGCTGACCCCACTAGTCTGGAGCAGTTTCTCCCCCTCCTTCTCTCCATCAGCCATGATAGAGCAAAGTATTCTCCGTGCCTAACCCCACCCACATTTTTCACCCCTTCCCCTGCCGGATGTGTTCTAACTCACCTGTAGGTTGACCCCGCTAGTCTGTAGTACTTTCTCCCCTTCTTTGTCTCCATCAGCAATAATACATCTCAAGATTCCCCTTGCTTCATGTACTACGGCTTGCTGTGTCTCGCTGTGTAGTAGTGACATCATATCAAGATGACTGTAGGCTAGCTCCAGCTGGGAGAAAATCACACGCAAGGCTAGTCATGTACATCACTACTTCATGAACACTTTTTATCTGTCTGCTTGAGGTGAATTTTTGGTAGCAATTAATAGAAATCAATAGAAAGAATGTCGTGATGGTAAATACAATTGCTGAAAAAAACCTCTGAACTGGGCCCAATTCCATGGCTCTGCTTACACTTAGCAGAAAATTCTGTGCTTATGGTAAGCATATTTCACAGAATAGCGAGATATTTTGGCTTATGCGCGAGCATGCGTACATCCCGTAACTATTCCCATGAAATTCTGCAGTTAGCAACGCAATGAAATTGGGACCTGATGTCACTGAGCTATTACAGTCAACCACATTGGGAGATAATTGTAATACATTGCATTTTGAATACAGTGCTTCCATTGGTCCTGGATGTTCACTAAGAATGACCATTTGCACAGAGGGAAAACTTGTGTCTCATGGCACATGAATTACATCACATAAACGCTACAATAAGATCAATAATGTCTCCCATATCCTGTCTTGCACATTAATGATGTCATCTGTTTACATACTGCAACCATGGTGATGCTCCATGTCATAGCGACTGACAATTGTTAAATGTTGACAACTGATAACTATGACCCAACTGTACAGGATCAGTAATAGGTCTCCAGAGCTAATTGAAGTAACAGACCATTAAAAAAAAATCAACATTTTAACCCAAATTAAATACATATAATAACAAAAATGTTAAACTGTGGGATATATCAAAAGGAGGAATTCATGCCATGCTCTGCTGGAATAAACAAGTGGTAAGATATGCTTGACTGGCACATTCTATTCGTTTGTGAGAGAAGGCAAAACCTACCTTGAGAGTAAACTCACACCACCTTTGCTCATCCGTATCAAAGTCATAAGAAACTAGGAATGGACTGCTCTGCAAAGCATCCTGAAACAAAAAACAGATACGACAAAAATATGTTAAAGCCGTGAAAAAACTCAACAACTCCTAAAAGTTCATAAGACAAGGCCTTTTGCCAAAATAATAAAATCACAAGGAGAAATTCAGTTCAGATACAGGTTTGAGTCACGGAGGGAGTGTTGTAAAATGCTTGTACTAATAAAGTGTGGAAGTATTTAATTGCTTTGGGGTGGAAAATGGATGCGGATAAATTTCCACTAAGATGCTGCTATGGAGGTGAGAGCTTGTTAAACATAATGGCAAAGCTTAGTGAGGTGTGACTCAAGCCCACAATTAACCTCCTTCTACTAGTGCAGATGTCTTACTATGTGACCACTGAGCTCCTTGAGCATTTGCTTACATTAATTCTGGCCGTCTTCTCTTTTTCAGGAATCCCTTTCTTCATCTTCTGTTTCTTGCTCAAGGCACTGTCCTCCACTTGGGTGACAGCCGGTTCAGCATCATCGTCATCCTCGGCATCATCTGCGTCACCATGGCTACCTGTATCTTCACCTTCCTCTTCATCTATGAGATGAAAACACAAGACCTCACAAATCAATCATGCTCCTACAGCAAACTGCAAAAAGTGTTTTATTAAAAATCATTTCACTCTTTTTTCAGCAGTTAACCTGACTTTTGACCCCACAACAAAATCAACCTTCTTTCCTGAAAGAGCTACCCTCTACCATTTTGCTCTGTAAATAAATGTGAAACAAAAATGTGGCTCTTGTGAGAAGTCCACAATTTCCTGCAAATCTGGTTCCAAGTTCATGGCTCTGCTTACTGTAAGCAACAGAAAATTCTCAGGGAATTTTAAGCCTATTTTAACAAGTCAGCAATTAATGTTTGCTTGTGAACATGCCGACATACAGTCACAGGAATTCTGCGCTTACAGGGTGAGCACTGAATCATTTAAGATCAGTGTTGTAGTGAGTCCATCACAAGGCCAGCAAAAGTCCCAGCAAGTCCATCACAAGTCAAGTCAACTATTCAAATTTGCAGGAAATTGTAGCTATTCAAATGAACTGTAACAAATGCATCCTTTGTTATTGTTCATTCCATTACTTGTGGCTGGAATTATGAAAGGACTTGTGACTGGACTTGTGATGGACTTGACTGCAACACTGCTTACGATCACTAAACAGAGAATTGTGATCATAAGCGCAGAATTCCGTGGTTAGCAGAGCTGTGAATTTTGACCCAGGGTCCAAATTCAAAGAGCTAGTAAGCAAAGAAATGGGCCATGCACGTAAGTTATATGTTTAGCACCAGCAGGTTACCAGCCAAAGTGTCATGCAATGTATATTGCTTGTGACTGGTACCCAGCTAAGCAAATAGACTACCTAAGCAACGTTTTCTGCCAATCAGCTAAATGAAAGTAGACCCAAGTCTGTTCTTGAATTTCCACTTTTTATGTCTTACCCGAGGACTGGTTTTCTTCTTCTCCTTCTCCTTCTTCTTCATATTCTTGCTCCTCCTTACTATCATCCCCTTCTTCATCATCCGACATGGTATCTTCCTCTATCTCCATAGTAACTGGCTCCATGGGTTCCTCCTGATTCGTTGAATCATCTCCAGCTGCAGTCTCATTGGATGCCTTGGCATTGTTTACCAATCTAAGGGGGAGGTGAGAAAATAGGATTAGGGTGAAAGGAAATTGGAGACCACAAGCCATTTCAGATTGGCTTTCCATGGTCGCATATACACGTGTTCTTGTTTTCTCGTTCTTTATGTTGATTGTTGTCTCTTGATGGTTTTTGTTTTTTTCGCCGACGCTTCAGGTGTGTTGGGGTTGCTGTAAAGCAACTTATAGTGCTTGCACTTTTCCCACTCTACCTGAGTTGTTTTGTTTAATAATAATACATACATGTATTAGTAATAATAATAATAAAGTAGCAACTCAGGTTGACCCAAACAGATTGTTTGTTTTCAGATGGGCAAGCTTTATGTACTTATTTTCCAAACATCGCCTATTACTAGTTGTCTTGACCAATATCAATAGATTTAAATTACATCCAAGAATTGAGATGAAGGCAGAATGCACTCTAGTGAAGGACGAATTACGTTGTAGCTTACAGAATTTTTTTCAGGTCTCTGGTCTTTTTATTGATGCTCTCAGACAGACGTTTGAGGAATCGCGTCTCCACGTAATGCAAGATGCTTGCAGGGTCTGCATAATACTCATCCTGCAAACAAAATGGAACATACTGAAGGATTATTTGATGGATGAGAAAGGAAGAGCCAAGCCACTTTTACTTTGTAGGAATGAGGAGACAGGAGTGATAATTGTAATTTTCAAAGAATCTTGAGACAAATGTCATATTATAGGTTTTTTTTATAAAGTCTTGCAAGCTATGATGGAGACACACCTTGTATTCAGCATGTGGGAGGAAGTTGAATCGAATCTTGAAAAGTCGGAACTGCTCCCTAAAAGAAAAAGAAATATCTACGATGTTAAAATACCACCCACTACATCACTACTGATTGGTAAAATATATCTCATACAATAAGGATGGGTCAATCTTTTGTCAACTTGATTATCTTGGAATAAAAGAAATATTTTGTACACAAGATCCTGCACTCTAGTTCTGAAGAGAGTTCTCGATTCTGATACAGTACTTACATGGCACTGACTATCTGGTAGGATTCATAAACGTGAATATCTTCTATCACCTGAAAGATGAAAAATGGGGGGAAAAAATCATCATTTTAACGATCATTCTGACACTAACTATTTAGTTTATATCCGCTCCATTCACAAGTACCCCCTCACCGGCAAAGAGAGTACAGTTGGGGGTGACCGACCGATGCCATCTTGCCCGACTGCAATTCATTCGCCGCGAAGCGCGGCCACTGCGTGTACATAGTACAAATCCCCTGGTGTACGTGCGTCACACACAAGGAACGGTGCGCGTCAACCAGCGAAATGTCCCACCCATGGGACGTCGTTGCTAGGTAAAAGGGCGCCCTCTTTCGTCGGCGCACGGAGCTCATAGTGAGGCGCTGAAGCAGCAGTTTTACTGTTTAAGGCTCAAAACCTGAATTTTGCCAAATTGATTTCAAAACAACATTACTAGTTTTGATGAATAATTGTGATAATAAATTGAGGTTGTTACTATCTGCAAACATCTCTCTTTTAATAATTAGCATCGTTTTTATTAAATTTGTGATCGGGTCAGGGAAAACCACAGCAAGGATAAACATATTGCGGAATCTAAACTTGTTTTTCAATGTTTTGCGACTGAGTTAACAATGATTATACTTGGGCCAGAACCACCCGGGTCAGTCTCTTCTTGAGTCTAGCTGCTCGCTTCCTGGCATGAGATGTGACAAGTAGTGGGGCATCCATTCTGGGAGTCTTGATGTTAGCGCTAGCAACCATTAGGATCTCTCTGCAACAAAAACGGGAATTTTTTTAACTTATTCATCTAGCGTCAGTGACACATTGCATTTCACAATATCAAAGTCAGAATTTGAAAGGTTGGACACACTTCAAGACTTCATACAGAGGGTGGAATGTACCATTCCAGATTTAGCCATTTCCCACAATGCTTGTGATCAAATTTGACCAAGCTACTGTGGTCACCTGACCAAAAGTCATGATCTGATTGGTCAATAAGCACCATTTGTTTGACAGGCAGGAGTCTTTTACAGTAAGATTCAGTAGTTTTACTAACAACAAAGATGTGCTCAGACCAAAAAAATGAAAGATGTTTCACTCACACAAGTCTTGGAATTCCCAGAGTGACGTTCATTTCTCCACGGCCAGCAAAATGGAAGGTGTTCAGGGTCATCTGGGTGGATGGCTCACCAATAGACTAAAAAATAAAACAAATATGAAATATGAGCAACAATGACATATGACATTGAAAAATTCAACAGTGAAGTTCTGATGGAGATTTTTTTGACAGACATGGTGCTTTATATTCTTTGCTCCAACTGCATGACTTAATTGTCCCCAAAATGTAAGGACACCATTCTCATTGACATTAAGGCTATTGTGACATTGACATGATTTTAACATCTGTCAGTTGCAAGCAAGTACACAGCCTTCCATGGCCGGCAGAGTGACCAACAGAGACCCATCTTTGTCATCAGTGTCACTACAAAGAGAATGACCATGACAGTGACATCATTTATAAACCTGTCATGGTAGCCTGTGTAATAATTACTGAATCCATCCCGGGTATATTAACTAGCATCAACTCATCAGAAATTGTTAACGTGATTGTCATCATGTCCCAACTGTCCCTTTGATCATGATCATAATGAAAGGTATGACGTCATTCTTTATTCAGCTGTTCAGCCAGTAGTATTCATTCATGCAATGTCACCAATGCTATCGTTATCACCATAATGACAATGGCAATGACGTCATTTTTCCACCCACCTGAGCAGCCAGCAGCCCCACAGCCTCCCCTGGCTGGCACAGTGACCGTCGGTACTTCAAGAACAACAACCGACGGAATCCCTCCTCTGGTGTCACATCATCATCATCATCATCACTGCTCCTGCATTTCTCTAGGTGTTGCACCCCTGTGTTGCTAAGATAATCCTCCATGATGGCGTTGAGTTTCTCCGAGATGGCACCAAACTGTATGTCTGGCCGGAGTTTGCAGTGGACAGGCTCGGGGCAGCGACTGGTGTTCTTAGCATACCTGAGAATTTGAATAAGGAAAATAAACATCCCTCACCTTGAATATGATCCATTTGGTTAGACCAGGACAAACAGAATTTGAAGAAATACAGACTATTAAAAACTTCCTGCAAATTAAAATGAAAAACCTAAACAACTCAGCAAACAGACATACAGAATGAGATATTCAAACCAAACCAAACCAACCCTTAAAAAAAGGACAAATTTTCAACAAATGCATCTCTTTTGAATCTCTACGTGGTGCACTTTATGGTGAATTGCTCCCATTAAGGAACCAGTATTTTTCCTTTCTTACTTGGCTTTGTTTGTTGCTTCCCTCCACAGATTGACAAGTTCCTCCCTCACAGTGATGTCCTTGTCCCCGCCCTCTCCTCTCTGTGCTCTGTCTTCAAGGACCACGCCCAGTTTCTTGGTTGAGTAGTTGAGGAAAGGAGAGCAACGTTCCGTTCTCCTAAAGGTGTCATTCTTCTTGACCCATCTGTCAACCTATAAATCAAAGAAATTCAAGCATACATGGTTTCATTCAATTCAAATATCATAGTTTGACAATATAATAATATATAAATAACAGTATTTTCAGTTAGGAATTTTTTTCCCCATATCAGCATTTCTTAATCATTATACCTGTTTTTGCAGTTTGCGGGCTGATGTTGCATCACAGTCCTCCGCCTTGTACATTCTGCCCAGCGATGCAGCGCTGTTATCTAGCAGGAATGGGAACTGGTCTTCCTTCAAGAAAGGTGTCTTAGGAATGTCTAGCCCATCTTCACCATAACGGAATTGGATCACACTGCCATCACTGTCACGAACCTGGATGATGATTCCAAAAATAAAAGGAATTTTATCTTGTAAGATGGACTTTTTTTGCATCAGGAAGATATTGTTTTTTTGATATTGGATGTTCGAGCACTTACTAAACATAAGCACTCAGAAAGGGAAGAAGAGTAATTCCTTGAAAGGCTTCAGTTTTGTTTCAAGATTTCACTTATGAACTTACAGTGAGGTCATAGTTCACCACAAGGCCCCCTAGGTGTTTAATGATACCATTTTTGAGAGTTAACTTACAGTGAGGTCATAGTTCACCACAAGGCCCCCTAGGTGTTTAATGATACCATGTTTGAGAGTTAACTTACAGTGAGGTCATAGTTCACCACAAGGCCCCCTAGGTGTTTAATGATACCATGTTTGAGAGTTAACTTACAGTGAGGTCAGAGTTCACCACAAGGCTCCCTAGGTGATTAATGATAGCATGTTTGAGAGTTAACTTACAGTGAGGTCATAGTTCACCACAAGGCCCTCTAAGTGTTTAATGATGCAACGTTGGAGGTATCCACTTCTGCTTGTCTTGACTGCAGTGTCTACCAGACCCTGCAATGAACACAAACAACATCAATTCACAAAGTGTTCACAAATTGTAATCCTTTAAAACAGAAAAAAAATCTAAAAAAACCCCAAACATTTTCCAAAACAGCCTTCCTGAATCTTTCACAATTCAATATATGTACGTCCACCAAAAAATACTGACATCAAACCCGATGTAAATGTTCATAGTGTCTGGGACTCAAGTCTGCAATCATGAATCCATTAAAATACTCCAACCTGGGTGTGGATTTTGTTGACTTGAGAGTTGTTAGAATTGAAATGAAATTTATTATATCAAATACAAGATGGAAAACAAGACAGTTTAGGCAGTTATAAATTAACCATTAACCAAGTAGATTCCAACAAAAATTAAGCACTGTGAAATGTTGGTCTGGTCGACCATCATGGTGATCAAAACGACCCTTTTCAACTGTTCGTTGAATTTTGTTAGGATTCCATTGAAATCTGCTGGGTTCAGCAAAATTCTTAGCCTGCATGTCCTATTTCCTTTGTTTTAAAGGGAGGAACATGCTTACCTCTCTGCCGGCCATACAATGGAAGAAATACTCCTGTGGTCTTATACCAGTCAGGAACCGTCCATCCACGTAGCCACCAGCCCTAGGGGAAGGATCATAGGGTAAGAAGGATGGCAGAGACCGCCCACTGGCCATGAGAGGTGGACGACGCCCCTCCAATTCAATCTGGCCCAGTAGGCAGGAGATCTGCATACAGTTGACCTGTATGGCAAGCAAAAGTGTTAGCGTCAACTGTTAGTTAAACAGAGCAGTATCTTTGTGGTGTACAAATAACTAGTAGTTGGAAACTCGGGTAGTTGATAACCTGTTCTCATTGTGTATATTATGCAATCATACAATCTCTACAGACAACATGTCAAACTGAGTGATATGCCTAAATCAAATGCTGATATGCTCTTTCTAATGCACATGGAAAGTGACAAATGTCCTTTAGATTCAGTTTGTGGGATCCGCTCACACGCTATCTTGGAATAAGCCTGCCACAGAAAGACTGTTTTGAACAAAAGAAAGTATAAATTTGAAGCAATAGCTGCTTCAAACTGATTGGGTGGACATGAAATATACAAGTCATAATGTTAAGGACCTGATATTTCGATCCTTGCAGACAACGAAAACGTTGTAATCACGGCCTACCTGTGATCCCTTGGCCCCAGACAGCACCATGAGCTGCAGATTGTTATCAGGAAACTCTTTCTCTAGTCCTTTAGACAGGCAAGCATTGCTGATCTCATTAGTGAATCTGTCTGTTTGTCCCTTCATCTTGAGGTCAATCTCACGCAATTCTGTGTCGTCAAATTTCCTGTTAAAAGAAGTGACAAAACAGGTGGATTTGTCTGATTAATTAATCAGTCTGCAGCAGGTGGTAGTGCATGAAGGCTGAATCATACTCAGCCTGACAGTGAACAGGAATGCAAATTTATATAGACCCTTCCCATTCAGCAGCCATCTTTGAGGTGTTTTTAGGAATTTAATTCAGTAACAATGAACGTACCCAACAAAAAAAATGCATGCACCTCAAATAATTACGGCTGTGATGCAATGGGTCTGTTTGTGTCGCGAATTAGCAGAAGTTGGACAGTTTTTAATTCTGGTGAACATCAATGTAAATATTTTGTGACAAATTCACTCTGCACTAACATATACATAGAGTAGGAATTGGCCCAAGAGTTTATCACCAGGTATGTCATAACCAGTTATGACTCTCCAAGTGAAAATGCTTATCTCATCCAATCAGAGACGCCGATCAGCTCATTCAGAAAAATGTGCATAATGAACTTCATCTTAATCCATCTTTGAAAGTTTCAATTTGTCACCAACCTGTGCGCTTCTTCATATCTGTCCTTCAGTGCAGTCAAATCGCCGGGGTCCTCCACATCCAGAGCACTGGATACAACCTCGGGCCCAATCCCACTAGCCTTACGCATCAACTTCCTCCTTTTGGAATTGCCCTGGAGAAAAGGATAGAATAAAAAAGATAAAGAGAACTATTATTAAAAGTGAGGCTTTGATCAGACTATGTCCCAATTCAAGGAACTGAAAAAATAGAAAATAGTGCTGTACAAATTTATGTGTTTAACAAAAATCAGTCAAGAACATTTTGGCTGGAAAGTTGTTTTTGCTAAGCGAATATTTCATGGACTTGGCTAATTTCTGTGCATTCTACTTCATGAGTTGGCCACTAATAACGTAAATTCCTAAATGCTGGAAAACGACCTTGCAATCTTCAAATTAGGTCAAGTAAGCACAACATGTCAAAATTCTCAACAGTTAGCAACTGTAAAAATTGTGATGAACTCTAATCGATGAAAACCATTTTTGTACACACAAACATAAATATAAAAAGCTTTTTTTTGGCTTGAGACTGACAAACAAGCTTAATGATGACAAATATCTAAAAGCAGTTAATCAGCTGAAGCCAATAAACACAGTTCAAGCTTGGTAATGACATATTAAGGGACAATTCTTTGTCATACTTATGAAAAGAATGTACAGTACAAATAACCATCTTCTATTTAACAGTAACAACACTTTAATGTTTTACCTTTTCTGTGACAAGGATGTCATGAACGCCAAGTGTGAATCCCGTGAATTGCTGCAGGAATGTTGTAAACAATCGCCCAAGACAACTCAACAGTTCACCAGCGACTTGTCCTCCGTATAACTGTAAATAGACAAACAAGGTTCAGTAAAATTACAGAGAAAAACTTTTTTTTCTTAGAGTATCTGAAAACAAATTTTAAAGCCAACCTTGGGAGATGTGGAACCAGAATCCACCCTTGCTAGTGTCAATGATGTTGCGACCTGACCGACAAGCTTCCAGACAGTTACCTGGTAGATTCAAATCTGACATTATCAGTGTCCAAAACTGAAGCAATTTATAGAAAAAAGTGACTTTAATTAAATCTATTTATTGTTTCACAAACCACAAATGGAAACTGACTAGGTGCATTATAATAATTTTTTTCAAAGTTGGACAAAGAAATTAACTGGAGCAGGGTTTGAACGGATTGTCGTTTCAGTGCTCTACCACATGGTATATACAGATTTATGATCCCTTGAACAACGACATTGAAAACTGGGAGCCGCCAACATAAGGATGGATAGCACAGTTGGTAGAGCACTGGAATGGCAATCCAGAGGTCACAACAGGTTCAAACCCTTGTTCAACTTTGAGTATATTGATGTACATACCTCAAAACAGCAGTGCACTAGCCCATAGCAGGTGTTTCCATAATTAGCCTTGTCCAGAACCCCACATACCAGCTCCCCACCCCTCACAATAATCTCCGACTCTGTCATTGACATTCCTGTCAGGGGTGTACCGCCACCGATAGGGGTACGAGCTTCTTGGTTGGTCCAAGACCAAGACTGAAAAAGAAGATATGAAGATACGAGGATATGAAGTTGACTTGAACACCTTAAGAAAGATCATGTGCCAAACTGCCTTTACTCCCTATATCACAAGACCACGCAAGGCATTCCAACAGACACCTGACCAGCACAATGTTTTCTTGTAACGCAAGAAAGCAGTGTAAGATATCAGAGGTTTTGACTCTCAAAAGTTATGGCAACATTTTATGAAGATTACACTTTTTCCTCAAGGAAACCAACTGCAAAGGACCTACTTGTTAATTTTGAACATTTTGAGAATGATGGGCTGCGAGCCCTCAGGAATCAGGTTGACCCATCAACCCATCTACCCACCTTGCTGCCAATCTTAGCCTTGCCCTTGAAGTTGATGGCCGGTGTGTCCTCAGGAATCACGTTGAGTAGCAGCGTAGATATCACCTGCTTGCCTGACCATAACTGGGCAGGCTTCATAATGGTCGGTGGGAGAAGACGAACCTCTCGTGGGTGATCTGTCAAAGCATTGAAGACCAGTTGCTGGTAGTCCATTCTGGAAAAAAAAATGTTCAAAAAACTGTTACAAGCCTGAGAAATCATGGAATGTGTTGGCACAAAGATGGTTGTGTTTCCTGTATCCAAAGGGTAGCAAACCACCTGAAAAGGGTACCAGTCCACCATAATGGGTTCTGATCCATGCGAATGGGTAACAGTCACTCCAGAAAGGTATCAGTCTATTTAGAGGGGTTACAGTTCACCTAAAGCGGTTCCAAACAATGTAAAGGGGTATTAGTTGACCTAGAGGGGTACCAGCCCACCTAAAAGGTACCAGACTATTTTGAGTGGTACCAGTCTATCTTGAGTGGTACCAGTCTATCTTGAGTGGTACCAGTCTATCTTGAGTGGTACCAGTCTATCTTGAGTGGTACCAGTCTATTTTGAGTGGTACCAGTCTATCCGGAGTGGTACCAGTCTATCTTGAGTGGTACCAGTCTATCTTGAGTGGTACCAGTCAACCTAGATGTAGTTGGAAGTTATTGGTCCAAGATGCAAGTTGTTACCTGTTGAAGAACCTTCCCCTGACTGTCATCTTGACACCAGCTACCATGTGATCTTGGATCAATCCTCCTAGAGGAGTACCATCCTTGGGCACTAGGTACTGCTCGCTGGTATTGGCTGCCAAGGAAACAAAACCAAACAACGGACTTGTAGTCATGGTGATGTGAAAAGTCATCTCAAACATTCAGCATGAATGACAGCATCTTTTCTTGAAAATGTTTTTAAGGAAGAAGCAATAATGATTGACATCAGTTTTGGAGATTTCTGAAATATTGACTTCATTTCCCTATTTTTAATTACTTTCTATTTTGTCTATTGACCTACCAATAGTGAGTGCTTCAGCTCTGCCAATCTCATTCTGGGGAAAGTGTACGTTCATTTCATCTCCATCAAAATCAGCATTGTATGTCTTGCATGCTGAGTAGTGCAGACGCAGTGTTTTCTCACCAGGTAACACACGGACCTGAGAGGAAGAATCCAGATAGAAATACAACTTTCTTTCAGAAGTACAGTAGGTGCCATTCCCAGTCACTTATAGGGACTTAGATTAACGACAAAGATTTCATTAATCAGGCTAGTTGCTCTTAACAGCTCCACAATTTACTGTCAGATAAGTCATTAGATGCAATTCAAATAATCGATTTTGTCAAAAGACATATCCAATGAAATTTAGAACACCTATTCTACAAGTGTCTGGAAACATGGAAAAAGTACAGTTAAATATTGTGAAGTTTGAACTCAGAATTGCTGAAAACTGTACTTGTGAGGTTTTACATAAGGTTCAGGGAACCTGGCCTCAAAGTAACTTGAAAGTCTTCAATCTGAATGTTGGTCGGTATTAGTACCTTATGTGCCATGATACTGGGCTTGTGTAGTGTAGGTTGGCGATTCAACAGTACAATATCTCCTGTACGTATGTGTCTGTGCACCTAAACAATTGGAAAAAAATAACATGCATAAACACTCAGAAAATGAATCCTGTCCAAATGAAACTCTTATACCAAATAACTACTTTACGTTAGATTTTTTTAAGAAAGATAAATTGTAATGCTTATAAATAAACTGTAATGCTTTTATAGTGCTTTCCATCATATCAACAATCTCAAAGTACTTTATACAATTATTTCCCCGTTCATCAGGCCACGAGACCATGCAGCAGCCGATATCAGGACACATTCGGTCCTCTACCCTCACAGGCACCATACATGTATACTCCTGGGTGGACAGAGGCTATTGTAGTTAAGTGTCTTGCCCAAGGGCACAAACACCGTGTTCCTGGCAGGGTTCAAACCCACGTATCATCGTACATGAGCCAAACAACGTAACAAATGGACCATGGCATTCTGCATATCACATAAATCATATCAGTAAAGATGTAAAGGAAAGCAACATTTTCAGTAATACTCATATCTGCAAATCAGTCTTCCTGGGTACAAAAGCTGTTTACTGAATTTACTAACTTTACTAGGATCTAAAAATATAATTTGATTTCCAGCAACCTGTAAATTTATATTGATATAAACCTTTGATTCCAGCTGTTACCCCTAAAACTGCATCATTACAGCACCCTGATCTGCCATGCTAAAGACTAGTCTATTTTATGATATAATAAGAGTGACTAATCGCACCTTTTTCTGTGAGTTAGGGCCATGATGGATGTTCTTAGGGACCAGGAGCTGTTTGGCTGCTGCCTCACGTTGTGATGGATTCCCAGCACTCAGTCTCATCTGACTACCATCTTCATTCTCAATCAGTAAGGCCCTGAAAACAAAGATGGCAAAGACAAACCGAGTGAAAAATCTGAGTAATGCCCCATCCAAATGATTTTGACTGGAAAAAAAGATGAACATGGTCTATAGGAAGTGGTACTAGACGAATGTATAATTGCCGGCTATAGCCCAGCGATCCAAATGCAGAATTAGAATAGTAATAAAGTCAAGAATGAAAAAAAAATGAAATTCTAGAGAACGCAGTATTGCCATACCACTCCAGAACACTTCAGATTGGGAAATGCCAACCTGTCCAAATCTGAGATAAGAAAATGCATTTTGAAGAATAAAACCTTCCCTCCCCATAGCAAATGAAGAGCCAATTTACCCTGGATGCTGGTTGGGTCCGTTCATGACTGCCTCTCGTAGCTCTCTGACATTCCAGTCGGTGACAGGCTGTGGATAGGACAGCTTCTTAGCAATGATTTCTGGGATACCAATCTCATCCGTGTTGATGTACGGGTCTGGGGAGATGACTGAACGTGCCGCGTAGTTGACACGTTTGCCCATCATGTGCTTGCGGAACAGGCCTTCTTTCTTCTCAAGTAACTAAGGAAAAAATGGACAATCCGACAATGTGTTTATTATGTGTATAAGTTCTAAACTAACTAGGGGCCATTGAACATAATATGGTCCGTAATATTGCTATCAATGTTGCTGGTGTGAAGCTGTACAGTTGGTTTTGGTTTTGATCCATTTTGAAGCCAAATTGTTTTCATTTAAAAAAAAAAACCCTAGTTTCGTTTGATTCCAGTTACAGCCTGCCCGATGAGTCACATGCAGAACAGGGTTTTTTTTAGTTGCTTTATTTTATCAATTTAATTCAGCTTGATTCTCAAAAGCAAGGTTTCAAAACATGTGTTAATTTTGGTTTCCATGTTTGATGGCTTACTTTAATAAACGCCTGTTATTTAGCTAGTATGAGTATCATCTGTTGTTCAACAGAGCCTGCTTGGTAACAACGTCTGATATATTATGTGAGCATGCAAATTTTATGCGACCCTGCGCGCCAGCCAATTGGAATCGACTTTAGAAATTGTGACATCATTTCGAGCTGGTGATTGACATCATTCAAGCAGAAATGTAGACTTAGCTGTGGATTGGTCAATTTGGCTGCTATATTTTTTTAAATACAACACTGAGTTACAGGAGACCTAATAGAAGGCGCCCGCTGAGCTGTCAGAATCTGGAGGTCAAGACGCAGTCTTGTTTTGCATAATTAATTGCTGAAACCGCGCACATATCATAGATGCTTGCTGTGTAAGCGGATATTGACTAAAATTTGCCATTGAATTAACACGCATTGAGATTGACTTAAGTTGACAAAAGTACAATTTAATTTCAGACAGAAAAAGCTTTATGCACTAAGTTTCTATTGACTGGACTCTGGAGTCATTCCCAATGACTCCAACAGTTGACCTTTCACCTGTAGGTGTTCTTCCAACATAAAAGCTAACTTCAATCTTGGGAATAATTTGGTTCTTCGCAACTCTGGATTGTCTGCATAACATGGAATTTACCTGTTTGATTCCCGGCAGCTTGTCACGTGACAATTTGTCCAAGTTACTGTCCACAACAACGTTGACATGATTCTGCAATGCCACCCAGGCATTCTGTAGCTTCTCTGCATTGGTGTGGCCTGGAATTGATCCTAATACCCTCTACAAATGGAAATGAAAATGACAAAATTCATTGAACTTATGAATATAAGGCCGTGTCTAAGATGGACAGCCAGGGCTGCAGCTATGTCTAATGTCAGTCTAGTGTCAATGAATGAAGACTAAGACAGTAATTCTAGACAAGGGTTTCAGAAGCAGTTTTAATTTGAAACTAATCCCGACATACAAGTTTTACAGTCCCTGTTTAATATACTGTGTGGGATTACCCTGGTACATTCTTCTACGGTTTTCCTCCCGACTCTAAAACTAAACATTTCTCCCTAGGTTTCCTTCGGGATTCTGTGCAAAACGTACACTCTTGAGAAATCCTCAGTTGAAATACCAGAAAGAATTAAAAAACAAGAACAACTAAAAACAAACAAGTAAATTATGGGGAAAAAAATCCGAATTGAGTTTTGCTTGACATGTGACTTACATCAATGACTGGGCAAGTGTGATTTTGCTGCTATATATTCGTGATTATTATTGGCTTGAAGCTTTGCATGGCAGATGAGATAAAATAGAAAAAATGCGGGTAACACAATGTGGAAACAAATCTCTTCTTGAAAGAAGTGTGGGTCTGAAAAGAACCGGTTGGTCGAGTGTAGAACTAAAAGATTTGGAGAGTGTGCTCTGTCCGTCCTCAGGGGGCAACTTCTACCAATACAGTACCTACCTTGTCAATGAATTCTTGCATTCTAAACTTGCTATCTTCCTCCAGCTGTTGTTGTTGCTCTTCTCCTTGCTGCCTCTCCTCCCCCTGTTGTTGTTGCTCTTCTCCTTGCTGCCTCTCCTCCCCCTGTTGTTGTTGCTCTTCTCCTTGCTGCCTCTCATCCCCCTGTTGTTGTTCTTCTCCTTGCTGCCTCTCCTCCCCCTGTTGTTGCTGCTCTTCCCTTTGCTGGCTCCCCTCCCCCTGACCCATAATTCTTAGCAGCAGCCGTAGTGTTTGACAGTCTTTCAGGACTTTGGACAAGTTAGCTGTTTGTGGGTTGTCATATTTTCTGTCCTTTAAGATGCGAACCTAAAAACAGGCAATAAAAGTGAGGCATTAGTGAGGTATTTTATATTGGTTTTTCTCTTTCAGAAATAAAATTTACCAGCACTAAGCTGTATGCTTCTTTTGAACTTTTTTGGCCAGATTGGTGGTCAAGTACTAGTGCTATTGACATCTGCACCAGTAAACCCGAGGTTGTGGGTTCAAGTCCTACTAAACTGATTTTATTTTTACAAAACTTACCGGTCTGAATTTGGAGGGAATGACAGGGAGAAGATCCAGAAAGAACAGATCAGCAGCAGAGTGTTTGATATCATCATCGTTATCATCTTCCTTCATCTCATTGTCTTCCTCAGCCTCATCCATTGCCTCCTCCGAGATGTGCAGAATGTCATCAGTGATTCCTTCTACATCTTGGGAGTTTTCATTGTCTGCCTCGTTCTCCACGGCATTCAACATGCCAAAGAGACATCGAAGAATGGATCCTATTATTGAAGCAACACGGCCAAATATCATAGAGTTTCAAGGTAGAAGTTGTTGCTCAGAAAATTGTATTTAAGTAACAAGAAAACAAGACATTGTCCCAAGCAATGCATCATGTTATACGTTAAATAGCAAAAAAAAAATCCTCAGCATAATTTTTGCCCAGGTGTGCCATTAAAATTGCACCAAGATGACTCGTGCTTCTCTTTATAAAATGACTGGTGATGGTTTGTGATTGTTATGTAATAACCTACGATGTCATGATGTCTTGTGCTTTACTTGTAATGACTTGCGATTGGCTTGCAATTACTTGTGTCTTGTTATTATGATCATTATGATATGTGATCAGATCTTCAACATCTCTAAATGTCCCACCTTCTTTCCTCATGATCTTGCGCAGGTGTGTTCTAGCCTCCTGTGGTGAGATGAAGATCATCTGCAGATTGTTCTTCTTGTAGCCTGTCTTGGTCAGGATACGTACGTTGCGTTCACTGCGCATTTCTCGCAACTGGGCCTTGCAGATGTAGCATCTGCGGCCTCTAGGTAGGAGGTGGTGTCTGAGGAATTCTTGAATGAGCTGACGGCGGCGATCCTGGACATGACGGCTCTTGGCCTGCGGGCGTGGCTGGTCCCCCTCTAATGTGATGAAGATAATTACAAAGCATGATTGCAATCACAGTTATCAAGTCAATTTACAGAGTTGACAAACGTATAATGAAAATGATACCTTAGTTCCTTCCTTTCAACTTAAACCCTCCTGGTGTGGTTTTACAAGAACCAATGATCTGTGTTCTAGAAGGAGTACCATCCTGTGAAGTCTGCCCTCGGCACCTAGGATCACAACTTTTTCCTAAAAGAGAACTCTACCTTCTTTCAAAGCAGCAGCCAGACAATCATTTAGGACAGTCCCCACTGTATCAGCCAAGACAAATTCATCATCTCCGCTCTCATTCAGCGTCTGCTTGATTAGGTCTGCCATGTTGTCAGCTAGGCTGAGCAGACCATGATCCAAGGCTTGCAGCTGGTATCTGATGAGTTGCATGGTCCAGCGAGGCGGCTGGAGGCTGTGGCACTTTAGACAGGAGGCCCTCAACAGCTTCAATGGCCAAAGAAAAAAACGGGTTGGAAAAGGGCCTAATTTCAACATTCACCTTGTTTACCGGGCCTTTTTCCTAGTCTTCTGCACTTCACAACCCTTATAACGCTTTGCAAAACCACTTTTGCCTACTGAGTTAATATCCACACTTCAAATTCCTCTGAGGTAATCTTCTGTGGAGTATGGATGACTGTAAGCTTCAAATCCCTACAAAATGTGTGTGTGTTGCTCAGGGCAAGCAGGCAGATTCGGCACTTCATTGCTCTCCACAGTGCTGTTTTGTGTGAAGGGGCTCTCTGTGTGACACAGTTACTTTAACATCTCATATTCCGTCACCTGAAACTGACCTGCTGAATATTGACTTCCCACTAAGAGGGTTAATTTAGACCACATTGATGGACATTTCATTATGTGTTGGTATCTAGACTAGTGGATTAAATTATTTGTATACAGCATAAAGAGAATGTGAAGAAATAAAGAAAACAGGATCTCACTCAGCTGGCAAGATCTGAAACTATTTTGTTAGAGAACCCTACCTGGAAGACAAGTCTGAAGAACAGTGGGTTGAAGACAGGCAATGGCAAACTGATGTGGCCCATGTGACCAGGGCAGTGCAAGGCACTAAGAAAACACGTACTGCAGAGTTCATTGCGATCTGAGGGACCTACGCGACAGGGAAGAAGAACATGAGAAAAATTTAGTTAGCACTTTTTGGAAATTGGAAATTTGTGTCTAGTAACTACACTTTTTTGAGTGAAATGGTTGACTCCTTAGTTCACAACCATAAGTGAGTTAGGTTTGTTATTGTCAGATATTTATGATTGTATAAAGATAACATAACTGGTGCCTACCGAAAACTGGATCATTGAGTCCACCATTGGTTGCATGACCTAACTCATCAAATGAACTTGGTTTTGTGACCTCCTTGACACTAAGATGACGAAGCTCTGGACTTCCATAGGATGAGAAGGTCACACTCTGCATTCGCTTGTTGGCGATCTTGTTCCTGAAAGCCGACATGGTCTATGATGTTGCTTTTAAATCCTCACTGTGATGAACTTCTTTGCTTCTCTGTAAAGAAATGAACAAGTGCTTTATCCTGTGCAGTGTAATCGTTTGGCGTGATCGGTCGATCTATGCAATCGGTCACACTCATCAATCGATCGTGCCACCATCAATCAGCCTAGTTCATGGCCCATGGAGGATTGTTACAAAACAGCCTAAAAGGGAAATAAAGTCTGATATTTCCTACAGGATCGACAGATACTGATAGTGAAGATCCATCAATTGCGCCTGACATATTCATACATTATCACTATGCCACACTCTCTAGCTTGGTGAGGTGATTCTGTATCTTGCTTTATGCCCTGAATATCTCAGTCTAGCCTGACGTTAGGGAAATTTCCTTTCACTTTTACTTTTAGGGATGTGTGCTTATTTTTTTTTTTAGGAAGAAATCTTCATTTTTTATATATAGGCAAAGTAGACTGTTCACCAACATAAAATTAAATGAAGTTTAGATTAATTCTCTCCAGCTCCTATATCATGTATATATATGACCTATCCTTGGAAAGTCATGAAAGAATGTACATGTAGTATCCAGATGCCACTTCCTAACAAGTATTTCCTAACAAAATTGAAAATGTTTCTCAATCCAAGATTCATGTCTTTTTAACATTTCTGCAGTGACTCATTTGACTAACCTTTATTGAGATGATAGGCATATCCATATGATAAAGAAAAAAGTGACGTCAGGTTGCAACATTTTTTCCCTATCCTCCTCTAGAAAATGATGAGGGACCCACCTAGCCCGACTGCATCTGGCCATACAGTACTATCGCAAGCTCTGAGTACAGAGCTTGCGATAGCACTGTACGGCCAGATGCCGTCGGCTAGGACCCACCCCCCTCCCCCATTTGGGTAATGAATCTCTTTCCCCCAGCCCGCCTCTCTCCCACCCCCTCCCCCGGCCCCCCTAATTGCCAATACACATACACTGTTACTACTAAGTACTAGCAGCACTGTAGCAGTGCCATCTAGCAGCAGGGTCATTGTTTTAGCCAAATTTCGGCTAAATTTGAAGATTTTTTGGGAGGGAAAAAAAAAAGAGTTTGACAGAAAATTTAACAGAACAAATAATTTTTTTTTCAGATTTCCAGCAGAATTCAGAAAAATTTGTAATCTGACACTGACAAAGGTCAAAGTGACAGAATACAAGGGGATTTGAAACATATAGTTGAGATTAGTTTTGAGAAAGCTTCAATTTGAGGTTCCCTGATGCATGCCGTGTATTACCAGATTACATTATGACAATAAAGTACCTTACTCCTTAGACATTGCGAGCCAGATTAAGGTTAGACACGTGCACATTTTTTAATTTTTTAATTATTTTGGTTTTTAATTGAATTTTTTGAAGGAAATAACTTAAAAGGAAATTTCATAAGTAACATCTGCTAACTATGCACTCTGCATTTGAGCATAGAGTTTATAATGTATTTTGTGTAATAATAGGTGATTTAGCAGATTTTGTTAAATCTAGCAGTAGCACAAGTGCATGATCTAGCAGAATTTTTACGGTCACCCTCATGCCCTGGCCTGGCCAGCAGTGAGTGTGGCACTGCATATCGCATGCAAAGTGCAGTGGATCTCATTCAGAATAAGAAAAGAAAACAAAAATAGCCTGTCTGGCAAGCCATTTTAAATGATTACCTTTACTTGAAATGGTAATTACACAGCACTTGTACTTAAAATTAAAGACCCTCTGGACTGGATTTTATCACCGAAAAGTGACATTTCGTGATACGCATGGACGCCATGGTGTCTCCGGTACGATAAATGCACGTGTATATAGCGCCCCCTATAGTCCTTATTTCAGGTATAGACAGGTCCCCGTCTATGATCTACATGATTTTATGTTAAAAATTGTTCCGGGAACCAGACACGTAGATTGTTTCATTAGGAGCGCGGGTAAGTTTGATGACCCTTTCCTGCCAGTCCTAATAATTTTGTTCAATAAAATAAACGTTGATAAATATAAAATGCCACATCAAGTTAGAAAAAATAAGACATGCCTTCGATTTTTATTTTTAGCAGAACTTTGCGGGTATTTTTTTTAATAAACATTACCTTCTCCACTTCATACCGGGTACTTTATCCAACCCAAATAAAAGTGGGATTATCCACAATTGAGTCGACGGCTATTTTAGGTTGATAAAGGAACAAAGAAGTAAAACTCGGAGCGAAAGGTAGGCCGAGGAGTTGGTGAATTAAATTTCAATACTTGCGATTTTTCAAGTGGCATTGGGATGAATAAGAAATTAAGCAGAATTTGTGGTAACTTTTTCAATAAGAACTTCATAGAATACTAGTAATACTAGGCCTAGATGATCCCTTTTGATGCCTTGTAAATTGTGTAAATTCATGAAATTGCAATCAAGCGCTCAGGCAGGCCTCAGCTGAGCTATCTCAGCGCTCACCCAAAAACAAAAACAATCGGTGACAATCACAATACAATCATGGCAATGCATGCAATAGTTCAATAAGCCAGTTCGGTGTAACTGCGCATATCGTCAGACCCCAGGGCCCCTAAAACGACGTGGTCCTTTTTGGACGCACTCGCATTCAATTACGTTGGACAACGCGCCTGTTGCAGGCGTTATTCAGTGCAGCAAAACCTTCACGCATGTTGCCGATTGTCTGTCCAAAATCTTCCGATCTATCCATTTTGTATTTGAATTGTAATTTGTAAGGGCCTTGGCCTTGGTCTTAAACACCCGTTTCGTTATTCCTACTTACTTATTTGTACGGTGCAGTAACCCAACATGCCTCGCAGTAACAGTGGCAGCGATTCCTCACTAACATCCAACCAGCCCAGTGGTTCAGGGTGCACTACGCCCACATCTCAGAAGAAGATCGTCAACTATATCTGCCGATGGGAGTCTTGCAATATTCAGCTTGAGACCAGTGCTGATCTGGCCGATCATGTCAGGATTGAGCACGCTCAGAAACAGGTAAAAACAACTTAGTCACTTTTATTTATTAGCTAGCTTAAATTTGGAATTTAAAATTGGAAGCTTCTCGAAAATTGAACCAGGAATGACTCAGATACAATGTAAATTGGTGTACATTTACTAACTCTGAATCATGGCATTCTTATATGGCATGTGTTGCACCAGGTGGATAAAGGTGTCAAGAAGTACGTCTGTCTATGGGACGGCTGTAAGTGCTTCAACACTCCTTCAAGTTCCCGTTCCTGGCTCTTCAAACATGTCTTGCTCCACTGCGGTGACAAACCCTTCCGTTGCATCCTAGCTGGCTGCACTATGACATTCCCTACGCAGAGCGGATTGCTACGGCATGTCCAGACACATCTGAGTGAGCAAGCGGCTCAGAAGACACCACGGAACAAGGAGGACAGTCCTGGCCGGTTGATGAAGAAGAAGAGATTGAAATTCAAACGGCGGTTCTCCCAAGGTAATCTTCCAGTGGGGGCTTCCAGTTTGCTCTAATGTTGACTGCCTAATGTTGCGAGCAGCACTGGGACACAAACCCATAATGTGTATGTATGGCCCCACAGCAGTATTTGGAAGACCAAACCACAGCCATGGACCTTCAAAATCTTGTAGGGACAACATAATTAACCAAATGATTTCATGCAGACTTGAAACCTAAAAAAACCCAAGCATAATCCAAGAACCTGTGTGAACTGCAACACAACAAAGTATTAGAACCTGCCATAGTCATGTGGGAACATAAAACCAAAATAACTCACCAGTTATCTTTGAACTTGAACCCAAACCAAATCTTAGAACCTAAACAAATTAAAGAGCCTGTCACAGCAACGCAGGGACTTGAAGCAAAATCCCGAGTCATAAGGTTAAAACAATATCAAATACATTGTGTAATGACGATTGACGATTCTAATATTTCAGCTAAGACTGATGATTTCTTCGATACCTGCACCATGGACAGACTTCACCACCAGCTTGTGACAATGAACACATCCACACAGATCGACACTGCAGGCCACGGCAAGAACATACTGTTCCGTAGCAAGGTGAGTCACTGCACAGTGAGTGTCCACTTGGACAATGCAGTGTGTCCTTGGGCAAGACACTTTGCAACAACAATCAAGTCATCACCCCAATAGAAGGGGATGCAGATGGAAATTAACTTCATCTCAAATTGATTTATGTAATTTCAAAGATTGTGATGTTTATTTCATCATGTACATTGTTTCAGGTTGTTGGCAGGCGAGTTGATCATAACGATGAAGTCAAGGTCTTACTACATTGGACACCTGAGAACATGTAAGTGCTTGTCAGTTTAAGGATTGATGTATTTCCTCAGGTAGCATACTGATAATTGTCAAAACACTGGGGACTCCAACATTTATCGCGGAGTAATATTCAAGATTAAGCTATGGATATAATAATAATAATAATAATGACAATTTATATAGTACCAAAGTCCGCCTAAGAGACGCCCAAGGCGCTTCCCAAAGATACAATTTAAAAGCTCAGGCCAATCACAATAAGAAAAAGGGTAACTTCTTATGAACCCAAACTGCCTTGAAAGCATTTAAAAGTTATTGAAAAAGCCAAATTGCTTTAGAACGTAGAATTCCAATGTTTTCAGAGTCTGTGGTTGCTAACAAGACAAAATTAAACTAAAAACCAAAATAGCTGCCTCTTGCTCAGAAGTGCATGATAATAATAAACAGTGATATTTCTATTATTTTCCTTGTTTGTCACATTCCAGCATTCCAGATTCTTGGGTGAATGAGGCTGATGTCCAGAGGGAGACTGAGCGGGCTGTTCCAATGACCAGTCTTCCCCCTGAAACTGTCCGCCTTCTCCATCCTAGCTTAGGCGGACTGCACCGTGCAAGGAAACACAGAAGGAAGTGACAACCAGCCTTCTGTATTAAGTTTTGTAAGGCTGAAATATATTTTTTCCAATACTAATGTCTTAAACTGAACTTATTTTTAACCATGTGCGCTATGTTTCCAAAATGCTGCAGGATTTGTAATAATTGTTGTAAGTCTCATAAAAAATGTGAGGAATGTAACCTTGCTCTCTGCTGCTCTTTGCTTAGCATGAAACATTTGCTAAGCGCTATTTTCTTATCTGTATGTAATTGGCTGTACATAAAGGCGGAAAATCAGAGGATAAGTCCCTTTTTCAAGGCAAAGTGTGTGCTTTACACATGTTCTAAACGTTTTTGTTAGGTGGTAAAATTTGAGCCATTTTTAGAACAAACTGCAAATTAGCTGGTTGAATCGTATCTTAAGTTTTCTTCCGGATTTACCATGTTTGTAAAATTCAAGTCAGTCATAACTGTTTTAAATGAAGTGATAAAAAATGCCACGTATCGTAAATCATCATGAACAGTCAAGTTTCAGATATGACTTCATGACATGTAATTTCTGCATGCAGTGTGGACAGTCAGCCTCCATTACCTTTGGTGATGAACTGGTTATAATGATTAGAATGTTTTTAGTTCTTTAGAAGTTACACACAAGTTATATCATGTCATCTTTAAATAGAAACACACTGGATTGTTATTAATTGAAGTGCAGTCTACTTTTTAACTTTATCCAAATATTTATATTATTTTCCACCAACTTTTGACGAGTTGAGTGTGGAAACTGCAGTACATGGATATGGGCCTATGTACATGTACAACATAAATATCACATTGCAAAATCTGTTGTAATTAAAAAATTTTGAATTAGATTTCACCATGAAATGAAGTTTTGAATTGTAATTATTTGCATTACTTTTTTTAATAATTTTTTGGAAAAAGGTTTTCTAACAACTCTATTTTAGTGGAGTATTTTAGTATTTTTTTTAGAAGTACAGGTAGAAGTAAGCAAATAAATTTTTTAAATGATGAATTTTATGTAGGTACACAATTTGTGTACCTGTTTTGTAATCAGTGGAATTGCAAAATAAATTGTACATGTGTCTTTTACAATCTTGTGTAATGCTATGTGCTATTTGAGTATGTGTGATAGATCAACAATTATTTGAGTCTTGGTGCAATTATTTGAGTCTTGGTAGTTCACGATAGACGGTACAGCCTTTGTTCTTAGCGGGGTAGTTATGAAACATCACACTGTTAAAGCTATAGTCCATCATTTGTAATTTGTGCATTTTGTTCGTTTGAAGCAACAAAAGAGTTCAAAATCTAATAAAGGATACTAAGCAACTAACCTGATAAAGTTTCAGCTAAGCTTAAGCTGTCCATTCCGAGAAAAACAGCATTCTAAGATATCAATTTCAAATCAAAAGTTACTGAATCATGTTTTGAATTGCAGCTATATGCGACGTCGTGCACTGATCCGACGAATTATAACAACCGCGCGCGCGTGTGCGTCGTTCCAATACTTGCGCGTGCTTCGCTGAATAACAAAACGAACTACTAATTTAAATTTTCCTACGGTGCTTCACCATTGGAAATGCCTTCTTTCGTTGATTACTTCAAAATGACAGCTTCCCAGAAAGAATAATTTCACAGGGAGTTTAGTTCCCTTACTATCTTTCAACTAAGCATGTTTTTCAACAATAATTACGTCAGTTACTTTTTGGATAGCTGCAAATGATGGACTCTGGCTTTAAGGGTGCCCGCTGCTATGAATTGCTACCAGTTCCAATAACCCAGCGTACTGAAACATCACACTGTTAAGGCTTCTTGGAACCAAGACTGCCAATTTATGTAGGATGTTGAACTTCAAAAAAAAATCCTTCTATTTATATCATCCACATTAAAATTCAATTTAATAAATTACGTAAGCTTTGTGACAACTTTTACTTCTAAGTATCACAAAATGTAAAAATATCAGGATTCATACTTGAATCATTCATTGCATTTGTAATTAAAGGTATCAGCTCAGTACCTGATGGTACAGCTACGTTTAAAAATTATTTTTAAAACTTCAGTCAAAGTACATTAAAATTTACGATACTGAATGTCATAATCTATTCAATTAAAAAATAGCATTGGAGATAAAGCTTTCACCTATAAAAAGATGTATACATGGTCACGAGTAGACAAAATACAAGTCGAGTACATTTGTAGTCAAACCTTTAAAAAAGTGAATGGTTTTCTCAACTCGTCACACTTGAGTGGTTAACTTTCTATTGCATATATAATCTACATATCGCTGAATAGACCCTTTGCATTCAGACCCTTTGTCTTTTTGTTCTTTTAACCCACTAATCCCTGTAATGCCCCAAACTGCCCTGCCTATTACTCCCTGTGCTGCCTGAAACTTTCCAAACACAATGTCATACTATGTAGTTCCAGTGTTCATGGCTGCAATGTAAAGATTCCATAGACACTGTTGTTTCGTAATTCACTACCTTATGGAGACGTGTATAACAGGGAATCAAAGATCGTATACATCTGCACGGGGCAATTTCTTTAGGTGAATACGTCTCCACAAGGTTACCACGAAACAGATAATGGATTTTACTTAAAAAAAATAGGAATTTCCAAGGTGTTTTGATCCGTCGCAAATTGAAGTATTTATGTAAGGGAGATTAAGTCCGAATTTCAGTCGAGGAAATTAGTTCTGGTTTAAATAGGAGTAATTTGAAAATATATTTTCAAACTTTAAAATTGTAGTACAATAGAACAATGAAATGACTCGACAAGGATACAAATTCCAGTATGTGTGAGTGTACAAGTTGACCTGTATAATAACAGTGGATACCGCCAGGTTGCTATGGAAGTATTATCATATCTGGCATCTATCTGAACCCAAATCCTAGTTCCTACATTCTAGGACGTGATTTGAATTCCGGACATGATAACAGGCTCTTTCTTTCGCTTTTCCTGTTCCTGAAGATGTAGCAGTCTCTGTTTGGCTACGACAGCTGACGGATCAATATCTGGCAATGGTGGACATTTGCACTCTTCCCTTAGTTTTAACACCTGTAGTTACGGACAAGAAAACTGGCAGTGTTTATCACCAACTTTGTTTGTTGATTGGCTACGAGTGTCACATGACAATGACCTGCATGTATGGCTCATAGAAATCTCCCATAAACGAAAGGCCATGGAGTTTGAGATTTTAAAGGGAATAAATATGTGCTTGGCCGGTTTTTAACAAGTAAGTTTAAAGGGAAAATACAACATTTGCAAACATCAAAAAATAAAACTACCAAATCATTTTGAAATACCTTGCTGGACTGTTAGTGAATGACAGTGTAAAGCATCCTGTAAAATCATGGCACCTGGTATACTGTCATTTTCAAGAAAAGTGGTATTTTTGTATCAATTTCCAACGCTGGTCAGCCGACCAGCGTTGGAAAAAACTGGCTTTTTTTTCAAATACTGGCCCGGCCCAATGGACCATCGCACTTGTTTGCAATCGATTACACACCTATGAACGAATACAAGCCAGCTAGACTGGTTCCCTGACCTTACAATTCCCCAATGTATGTAAACTGCTCTGTTTCTTCTTATATGGAGTCAGGGAACCAGACTACAGGAAAATGATTGTTTTTCTTGGTTTTTATAGCATTTTCGAACCCAAAACCTCAAAAAAGTCAGTGTAACTATATTTGCTATATATTTCCAACCCCCCAATTCCATCCATTTCTGAAAATTACAGCGAAAGCAAATGATGTATATTCCCTTTAAAACCGGCTTTGGGCCTGGGTGCTGATAATCGCCCGAGCCAAAGGCAAGGAATATTAAGGCAACCATGCCCCAGGCTGGTTTAATACTGGCCAAGCACATATTTATTCCCATTCATAAATACCTTTGGGTCAGGAAGTCAAAACAAGTCAAAAATTATAACTTTATAACTACATTGTAGTGTAGTTTGAGCCCATTCAGTTGGTAATATAGGTTGCAGGTACTCCACATTATTCAAAGTTAAACGAGTGCAGCTATATGGTGCACATGGTGTTTGTGTTCTTGGGCAAGACACTTAACTACAATAGCCTCTCCACCCGAGAGTATGGATGGGTACCTGTGAGGGTAGAGGACTGAATGTGTGCTGGTATCGACTGCTGCGTGGTCTCCTGGCCTGATGAACGGGTTAATAATTGTAAAGCGCTTTGAGATTGTTGATACGATGTAAAGCGCTATAAGCATTTCAATTAATATTACAATTATTACATGATTGCCCTTCATTAGTTCATGGATTCGACAAAACAGCGCCCTCTACAGTTCCCATATGGAGTAAATAGTTACTCACAAAGGTCTACATACCCCAGGCAATAATGAGCCCAAATGATCGGCCCTGTTCTGGTGGGTCGGGTGAGTGCTCAACCATTCTATATCTATATCATCATCTTGTCCACTGTTACTACGCAAAGCCATGAGCTCCCAGAAGGCTTTGCACTCTCGCACATCCATACAGCTCTGAAACAAAATTAATACAGGCCAATTTGTAAAGTGATGACGAAAAATGGTGGGAGGGGGTTGACGTTAATGTGGGGGGGGGGGCAGTGTGCAGGGGAAGAAAATGTACTTCACATTTGAATATTATTCCCCCCCCCCTCCCCCAGGGGATTGATGGGGGGGGGGGGGGGGGGCCGAGAACGGGAAAGGGGGAAGTAAGGCGGGAAGTATGGTACCCTGTACCTACCCTTGCAGCAAGTACCAGACCAACTTCATCAGCTTCAGTCTCCAGACTACGACTGTATGGCATTTCAAGTAGCAGCTGGAATTTATCAAACAATACAAACTGATCAGCTTAAAAGTTGACCCAACTAATATTACGGACTTCCACTCAAACGAAATGGACCAATTGCAAATTAACTGCAATCTTATTACAGTTCTTTGATTCTTCATTAAATAACTTTGGAGTTATGTGCCTTAAAAACAATGAAAAGCCGGGAAACTGTCAACAAAGCTCAGTTGATAGATCACTGGTCCTTGTTCTTCATATCACAGGTTCAAATCCAAGCCACTGTCATTCTTCACTACAAACATGTGTTTTCTTACCTGCACAACTTTGCTTTTAAACCACGTAGCTACTGCTGCCACGCCATCATTGGGAAGGAAAGCCCAGAGTGCTGCAAGTACAACGATGAGAAGCACATCTACAAACTGGAACAGGCTTACCTGCTCTGCCTAAACAAATAACAACATACATAAGAACATAGGATCAGTACTAAAAACAAACTTAGGGGAACCCTTCAATAACTCTATGCTTCAAAATGATAAGGCAATCCAAATGTTTCTTAAAAAGAAATTATCTCTGTGTAATAAATCTACTTTTTCTACAGATTCAAATCTCTATCTTCCAAAATGTTGCAGTGCTCAATTGTTACACAGTACATTAAAAGAAAAAAAGAAAAAAAAAGAATAAAACTGCTGTGCTGCAATCTACATTCTAAATGGATTGTGCTGAAATATGAAATATATAATCTAAAAAGTTAGAGTGCCTGAAATTACAATCCTATCAGGATTTTTCTCAAATGCAGACCCCTTCCCGCCAAAAAACAAAAAAACACCTGTTATTATTGGCTGTAGTTAAGAAACAACAGCCAAGATCTCATTTCAATCTTCTTTTAAATTTGTCATGAGCTTTCATGTGTGTACTTGTATTAAGGCAAAACAATAAGAGCAAACTCCGCAAATGTTGGCTTTGTCAGCCCATTGTTTGATGTCTTACCGCGTGATTGAGCACGACATGAGCTATCTCATGTGCCAGTATGGTTCCTAGTTGATCTTCATTGGTTACTGCTGTCAGAATACCAGCAAAGACAAATATTTCACCGTTCTGCAAAACAGAAGATAGTAGTGACTCAAACTGGTGACTAAAAGTGACAAACGTACCATTTTCATTATTTTCTACACAACTTTCTCAGAATTTCTTAACCCTCTGAAAATGAATTTTGAAAGCGAGACCGGATACTAAAGACTGAAACAATACCAGCTGAGGAGACTTTTTTTTCAATATTTAAAAGCTTATGATTTTTTAAAAATAAATATTGAGCAATTGGGTGAGAACCCCCATCACTCTTTGGTTTTGTCAATGTTCTCTGTTCTTGTGTATGTTTTTTTTCTTGACAATAATTCTTAGTGGCTTTTCTCTCAAACGGAACAACGCATGAACTTCAAAATTGGCCTGAACATCAACCATGATACATAGGTGTGCATGCAAGTGTGTGACGTTATGATGACGTCATTACGTACCAAATTACAAGTGAGTTTAGTTCAAAAATTGACTGTATTGTTGCAATCATAACTCATAAACAAAATTAAGAATCATGTTCACACTTGGTGGTCTGATGATAAGCATTTCTTGTCGTGTATGTGAAGTCGCATGGCCTATACTTCCGGGGTTAATGGAAGGTCAAAGTTAGAAGAATTCAAAATAACCAGAAGAAGCGTGAATACTCAAACAAATTTCTTCTTAATGGCTCAAGGGATGAAGATGAAACTTTGTACAAACATGCATCCTTGTCCAAAGATGTGATAAAAATTGCAACGTTATCATGACGTCATCAAGTATCAAATTACAAGTGATTTAATGTCACAAGTTGACAACATACTTTCAACTATATCTCTTGAAATGAATGGATTACCCAGGGTTTTTTTTGTGAGGTGGTAGCCATTTCCTTGGGAAACATTTTTTATTTCTCGGCACAAAACCGCTTGACCTTTACTTCTGGAGTTACCGGAAATGCAATGATAAATGAATATAACTTGAAAATGGAAGCATTTTACAACAGTAATACTGTTGTGCCCATTCTTTAAAATCACGCATTCTTAGGAATGTGCATGCACATTCTTAAGAATGTGCAACTGGATCCTTGCGCAATCTTCGCAAAAAATAACTCTTCCAGATTGAGCGCACATTCTTAAGAATGCGCGACAAGATAACGGTCTTGTCGATGCCGAGCACCGGCTGCGCTTGGCAGGTCTAGCTGCATCCTCGTTCACTGATTCTCAATAATTATACTGTTGCAACGCAAGACGCTGAAAAGTAGAGTGGATATGATAAGTATAGGCGTATTGATATGGGGGGGGGGGGGACCGGGAAAAAATAAGAGACATAATATAATACTAGTGGAAAGAATTCTGATTTTTGGGATAATAAAAGGGGGGGGGGGAACGTAAGAATGAAGAATGTGAAGAATGAGAATGAATACTGCGACATCCCATAGTGCTAATGCTATTTCCCATTTAAATTGCCACCAATTTATTGTTCACACCCCACCATTACGTCGCAGAGCTGGATTCTATCTAGTCAAAAGAGCAATTTTGGCAGCTTCTGGACATCGTTTTTTTTTCGTGGCATGCATATGACACATACAGGGACTTGTAACTTGTCTAGCCTAAACAAAGCACTTCCCAGACTAGTTCCCAGTCCTCCTTATTACAAAACTTCCCATAGTGGGCAGAAAAAAGCAATAATAACAGGTTTAATTTGATTCAAATTATCGTAGTTATACGAGTACAGAAGCATAGAACATTTTCTTTCCTCTTTATTTAAATTGTTTCCCTTTTTAACCGCTATACATTTCATTTAACATAATTATGTCGCGCAATGTTTGTTAAGATTGGGCAAAATTCATAAATTGTGCACGTGATATTCCCACCCAATCTTAAGAATGAGCGCTCATTCTTAAGAACGCGTGCTCGTTCTTAAGAATGGGCGCTCATTCTTAAGAATGCGCGCACATTCTTAAGATTGCGTGATTTTCAAGAATGGGCACAACAATACTAATGAAGAAAATGTTAAGTGGGGGATACCAAACTCAAAAAAGTCATGATGACGTCATTGTAGGAGCGGCACGTCAAGAAAGTTAAAAAGTTTAAAACCATTTGTTAGAATTTCACCAAATTGCCAGTAGACATTTTTTGGGCAACAAAAAATAAATAATTGGCGAAGTTTCATAATGATGACGTCATCAGACCGGAAGTTATTGTTGGGAGACGTTGAAAATTATCATTTTTTTTTTTTTATAAAATCCATCATTCAGTATCTATTTGGGATCATTGTTACCAAAGTAATTGTTGCCTTCATTAATTAATGACGATGGGCACCCTAATGGTGTGACGTCATCAAACTGGAAATCAGGTACGTGTCATGAAAACATACACATATACATTAGTTTTATATTTCCAGAAGTTCTTTTCACGTCACTAGCATAGCCTGTCTAAACTAAAAGTAAAAATTATGCACATTTTGATTTGATGTGACGTGTAAATAAAATTTAATTTGAAATCTATCGATCCCTAAGGGATGCATTTGTTCTAATGAATAAATACAAGTACTTAAATCGACAAAAGAATGAACTACATATTTTCCCTGTTCTTTTGGCCTAATCATACAACTCAGTTCTTAATACAATGTCTAGTACAATAGTTCCATGCCGCATCACCCTGCACTTGTTGCAAACAAACTCACAAACCTCTATTTTAAGTTTGAAGATCTACTCACCGGTAACACAAATGCGTTCTTGATATCCTTGTCTATGATGTGTATGGTCCAGTTACGATTGCGTATTTCAGGGATGTCGTTATTAGCTTGAGTGATTCGCAGGACCAGCCTGGCTATCGTCAGGTACAGTGGATGTGAACTGTGGACACACTTCTCTGCATGAAGTGACTTCATCTTTTTGTAAAACACAAGAACGAAGGTCTGAGATTAATTGATCCCCTCACTTGTATTGAATCAAAACTCAAAACCAATGGCTGAAGGACCTTTATAAAACCTCAATATGTTTGAAAGTACAATGCTTACATTTTCATACTCAGTGGCCGCGATCTTCTTAAACTGGCTATCTGTGAAGGCAATGAAGCGTTTCCTGTTAGTAACCGGTGTCATTTGTAAGTGGCTGTAGTAGTAAGCCGAGCCGATGCCCGTCAGTCCTAGTGACACTCCTAGGATCTTGTACTTGTGTTTGCGGAGGGCGGCATAGAAATACTGGCGCTTGTTGTGAGGAAGAGCTCTCCACCAGTTCCTGAAGGCACTGTCAGGAAATTTAAATTAAAATTTGTTTAAATTGACATCAAAATTAGAAAAAAATAGCAAAAGGGGGTGGTCACCTAAAAATGGGGCCTAACATTTTTTTTTAAAATGGAGAGAAGAGCCGTAGTCATTTTAATTGTACAATGATTACTTTGCAATACATAGTAACTCTCAATGCAGAAGCTAAAGTTAGGAAATATTTATTAAAGGGGGTGTGGGACCACAAGGGGCATCGCTATTTTGGTTGGTGGTAGGTTTGCAGTTTCTCTATTTTAAAACTTTCCAATTTTAACTTACATTTTTGTAGAAACTAAAACCTATGATCATTATGATGCATAAAGTTTATGCACGTAGACTTGCAAATTATTCCAAATCACACTCTCACAAAAACTCTCAAAATTAGCTATCTCTGCTGAAGCAAAAAAACTTACCGTCCACTAAAAATAGCTGTCACCTTTGCAATGGGTTTTACAAATAATAAGACAAGCAATGGAGGGAGGGCCTGATGACGGGAAGATGTTCTGAATCCCACAGCAGATGGAACTTGGCCTCCTTGTTGACACAGAGTCTTCAATTGATATGTCTGGATAGGACCACAGCTAGGCCTGTCTAGCTTGGATCTCCCTGGTTGTGTGACCAGTCTGCTTGAATATAATGCAGTGTTGAGTTTTCTGGTTTGCTGTGTGACTGGTGTTCGGGTTTGTGGGTTCGTTAGGATATTTTGAATTCTGGGCATCTGCTGGCTGCGATGACTCAGGCACTGTAAATATATCTTGGAATGCTGCTGGTGAGTTGCCATCCATGACTGGATAAACCGCCAGTTGGGTCTTATCAACATCCTGCTTCCTGTTCATAAAATGATGATCAATATTATTATCTGTACATTATTTGGTTATAAACTTTAACTAAACATACACAAGGAATGAGTTTTGTGGAGCTACTCATATTTTTAAGCTCAAAGGAATACAGAACTCTGTTGCTCAAACTCTCAGCAAGAGTCTCCCTTACCAGCGAGTGATGGCATCCCAAAACTGCATAAAAAGTTAGATTAAATTAATATACATGGCCTTGATGCTATACAGATGATTTCTTGTGATTTGTTAAAGAGCACTGTATTGTTACAAATGTTAGGCAACCCTTAGAATTATAAGCCCACTAATAATTTGTGCCAAATGTCATAAACGCCTTTTGTGGCGGAAAGAATGTAGCATCCAGATGCCACTTCAGCAGTTGTGTACAAAGTCTATGGAGAGTCAAGAAAATTGTCCAAGTATCTCCTTACATATTGGAAATGTTTTTCAGTCCCAAATTCATGTCTTTTCAACATTTTTGTAATGAATGACCTTTGTTGAGATGATAAATTATGAAGAAAAGAAGTTGCGTCAGGCTGCAATATTCTTTCCTTTTTGACTTCCAGACCAAATTTAATATTGAAAAGTTAGGAACTGAATGGATTATTTATAAAGTTATATGCCTGTCAATGACAACTGGTTTGGCAAAACTACTTTTAGTTTTACTTTTATGGTTGATATAACCATTGAAGTTTTAACGTTAGTACTTTCTTGACAAATCAGTGAGGAAAAAGTCAAGGATTATTATAAATATAAATAATAATTTGAAGAAACTTCATCACTGAGTTAGCCTATTTTATCAGGAATATGAAGAACAATGTCATTTCGCACCAGCTGCAATGCCACACAGTACACAGTGCTTAGCCTATACACGGATCCTCACACAGGATCCGTGCCACCGTCATGACCGGCCGTGGCCTATGTAAATGTTGAACATGTTGAACTTGAACTTTGAAGCAATGGAACTGGAAGGAATCGCTACTAAACTATTTACAAAGCATTTTTGGGGGTGTTGTTTTTGTTCAGTTGTTGGACAGCACTTACAGTACGAACGTTTCAACGATTGGAAACGGTTGATCAAAACTTTCGCTTCAAAATGTCACATTTTCGAAATAAACCAATTCGTTAGCGAACGATCGACAGCTCTCTAGCTCTGCACACGGTACCTCTGCACACTCTGGTATGCGAAAAAGGCATGGCTGTAATTACAGACATGTACCCTGTCGCATTTACGCTTACATTTCAACGGTTCAATCAGGGCTACCAGTCTATTATAGAAGAAGCGATAGAGGGCGTTTTATTACAGCCACTGAACGCCAAAATTGTTTGTAGTTTTTTTTATGGAGTATTAAAACAAATTGGAAGAGGATGGATTTTGCCATTCTTTAAAAAGCGACTTATTATATTGAAGTGCCATCACTTCCAAAACGGTACCAAGCCATCCCGTCCATCTCCAATTTTCTAAATTTATTGTCCACTATAAGAAATATCAGAGAAGAATAAATCGAATTATTATTTAGAATTCTCGAGACAGGCATAAATATTTTTATCCCGAGCTCTTCAAAAATATGTTTTTTTCTCCCAGTGAAGTTTCAATTTTAAAGTTTTGTTTTCATTAAAACACTTCTTTATTCCAATGTTTGGCATCTGTAACCCTCTGAAAAGGGTTTGCATTTTGCGCACAAATAAACTCATCCTGCGAGAGATTATCTGGCAGCAAATAATTCGAATTTTTGTGAAGAAATAATTCAATAGCTAAGCGTTGTAAATTGTTTTCGTTCGATGTCTCATTCAAATAACATTTATATTGCAAGGAACGCAGCAATGTTTTATTTAGGTAAAGCTCGAATATAGTGAGGGGAACCATCTTTAAGATGCGAGTGGACATGCGGGAGGCCAGGGGCAACGACTTCATTGCGTCTAGACGTCATTTCCACGTACCCCGCCCCCTCCAACTTTTCGAATTATTCACACGGGCGGCAGGAACATTTCGGGAAGTATTTTGGGTTTAACCCCCCCCCCCCCCGCCCCCCAAATGAGTTCGCACTACCCGATTTGAACAGCGCTCTCACGGTTTGGTATTTAGTAGGGCTTCACCAATCTTCTGTGACTACTTTACTTTCAACAATGATTATTTTAAGTCATCCACGTCCATTTGCTATTGCGATTTTGGTTATTATTAATTAAAACTAATCAGAAAGTTCACAATTAGGCCTTTAAATTGGAAAATTATTTATACATAAAGAAAGTCCTTAAAACGCAAAGCCCTTTCCATCAACATGCAAGTCCCCCTGTTTAGGGCCTACATAAATTAAACCTGCATGTTGTTATGGCTACTGCCATACATGATAAATTCCAGGGTTTCCTAGACGACGGAAATGAAGAAACCCGTCGGGTCATGATCCTTGGAGTCAGCAGTCGCATCCTGGAACGCATACCGGGAGCTGATGAACGGTCGCTGGGGGAGGGTTGGAGAGGGTAACGCTGGGAGGAGTCCAGGCTACCGTACTATGTATGGCCGTGTCATGTTAGAATGTACTGCTACTATCGTGAGCTCACTTGCCACTGAGCTCACTTGCCACATGTGACGTGTAGTTTTATTTGTGAGGTCGAATGAGTGCAGCTGAAGTCGAGCATAATTTATAATGCCGCAACTAAGATCAGGACACGCCCACCCACCCCGCTGCAGGCCCGTGTTCTCACTGTGTCCCCCCTCCGACGGCACAGCACACTGTCCGAAATGTCGAGTTAAAACAACTAGTTCTTCTCAGAACAAACAACTCAAAAGAGATGTTATTCACATGGTGTTACCGCAAACTTTCCATTCTTCATTAGTTTTCTTCAGACCTGTCGAACTAAACCCATTTCCCCTGTTCTCAAACGCTTGCTCGATTCATGAAAAGTAAGTCGTCTGGTGACAGGCCTATACTGATTTTTGTAGCTTATCCTAAGTAGTACTTCTTGCATTCGTAAACGACAGAATTCGAAATTGGCTTTCATGATACACACCTGCGCAATGATCTGGCAACGTTAGCGATGTGTGAGCCAAACAATTTGTTTCGACATTCCAGCTGAAACTTTTGTCGCACCGTGTATCGAGTAAGAGACAGCGAGGACCACAAGTCAGCAAAGATTCAACACAAAGACCTGTGTAAATTTATCCAATCAAATCCGCTGTCGTAAGCCAAAAGGTTCACCTTGATTTTTTTCTACTTTCATAAGAGGAGCTCAAAGGAGCAAACGGCGGATGCTGAGCACTGGCCGACTCCTGACGGACACCAGTCCGGTGAGTTGTAGACGGACAACATTACGATTAACGCCCTTTGTTGGTTGTTGCTGGAGTGATACATTAAGTGGAGAGAAATGATACGGCCGATGGCCGAAACTGTAATCCCCCTGCAACTTGTTAGCAAAAGGCAGTGTTCGTACATAACATACGTGATGTCTAATTTTGACGGGGGCTCGTCTCTCTTAGTCACATTTTTGAGGGATATTCAAAGCATCATCAGTATGATCAGGTGAATTTCGTGAATCTAATAATTGAATAATTATTGTAATTGGTACGTCTCTTGTAAATCTGTATTCAATACCGCAGACTGAAAAGATGTGATCCTACATGGTCCGTCTAATCGTGATTCCAGGTTTGATTCACAACTTTCTTCTCCCTTTGGTAATTTAATGGTCACCGTTCCCATTTCTAATCACTGTTTGGATACCTTACACCCGTGCTCCCATTACTGGGATAAACCATTGTACCAAATACTGAATCAATAAATTCATCCTTTCACTAAACCATCTTCTCCTTGTGATGAATTATTCACATTTCCATATTTTCAAGTACGCGACCGATATTGTATTTGCTTCATGTGGCGTACCTTCGGGTGACAGGATTGAAAGCTGTCATCGTATGCTCACCATACGCACCACAGCCGGTAAAAAGCGGAACACAGCCCCCATCAGTCCTCCATAAGATGATATGTAAGATCATGACTATTTAATGCCGAGGAAAAAAATACAAGAAGTGTCGGTATCGTTTTTCTTAAAGGTAAAACCGAGGCCCCAAAAATGACATACGTATTGCACAGCCGCTTTCTACATAGCAGGTGGTCAGTGGGCGAAGATCTAGCGGGAGTCTCATCTCGAGTTACGATGCAACTTTAGTCTTGCAAAACGTCTTTCCCATGTTCTCGGTCCCTTTGCGTGTTAAAACGATACCCGTGAAGACTTAAATCGGTGGTGTTGGTGATAGCTGGGGAGAGTGATATTAATTGACGATTAGTGGCTCGTTGTTGGGTAGTTATCGTGTTTGCTTTGGCTCATCGGATGTCCTGGAGGGGCGGCAGTGGACAGGTAACAGATGGACATTCGGTTGGCAGGCCAGACCCTAATAAAGTGCCTTTGCCGACCAAATCTCATTTGCATGCTCTCAATTTTTATCTCTTGATAGAGAGTTTTGTGGCTTATGCACTCAAGGGTTTGAAAAAGTGGGGTGCGGGGGGGGGGGGGGAGGCTAAACAGTGTTCTGAACAGGGATTTGAGCTGTAGTACCGTTGAGACATTTTGACGAAATTTGACCCAAAAGTCGCTTTATTTTGTAATGGAGTGGAACTTTTCGTTTAATTATTCAAAACGGAGATGGGCTTTTGGACTATAGTATTTAGGCCTAGGGGTGATTAGGAGGGAAAATAATAACAGAAAGTCACAAAATTACACTCCCCCCCCCCCAAAAAAGTGACAGATCTTGAAAGTTTAGATTTACTTTGATTTGATTTTCCCTGATTTTGGGAGTAAGGACATCTAAGTCATATCAGTTTGTAAAGTTAAGTAATTCTGACTTGCGGCTTGACCGACAAGTGTCATCAAAAGCTTCAATTTCAGGTACGTAACTGGGTTGAGGCAACAGAAATTGTATTCAATGAAGAAACTGAAGGAATGAACTACCTCGTCGTCACTTGGTGGCAGCATACCCAGTGGCGGATTAATACGTCACGTAAGATTTGGTCTAAACAAAACCTTGACAGTTTACCCTTTATACTGGTGTTAACCTACCTTTCTGGACGCACACACGAACTTATCGTTTCGTGTGGACACGTATAAAATTATAGTATTGCAGTATTTGCATAACTGTACTGGCGTTCACGTGAAGCAATCTGCACCAGTAAACTGCGCCCTCTTTTGAACAGAATGGAAACTCCGAGATTTGCTTCGTCACATCCGTACTTTTTGCTAACTGGTGATTAGCAGAACATGGACGGTCATCATACAAAACTTAAGTATAATCTATACAGTTAAAAAAGGTGTATAACTATTTCCATTACCGATTAGTTACATTGCAAGACACTGCCAAAAACTAAATGAATATACCTGTAATGTACATTATTTTAAGGACTCGTGAATGATAAATTGGTTTCCAATTATGGCTCATCGGGAAAACCCGCTGCATTTTGTCTTTTATGCTAATACAGCGCCCTCAACGCCGATAGGACAGCGTGTTAATTAAAAAGACCCCTTTAAAATATTTCACTTTTATTTTTCCCCCTTTGAAGCTTACAATCACGAATGGCAGTATAGTTTCTACCGTGTGTCAATCCAGTCCTATACCGACCATCGCTCCTTTTCTCCGGGGGTTCTTTAGGTCCGTCTCGGTGTCGCCCCGGGCTTTTCATGAAAGCTTCCCCCCTCTCACGCCCTTCAAGTGACAGCGCCTGTCTCTTTTTACTTTCTTCCCTCCTTAAATCTAAGCGTTCCCAGTCTGCGGACTGAATAGAAACACGGGGCCCGGGCCTGGGCGCCCATACGGGATCGGGACCCAAGCTAGCGGAGAGGGATTGGCGGTGAAATCAGATCCTTAGCTAGGCTTCTTAGTCTGCCGCTCGCACCGGCCCTCTCGGGGCTCCTCTTGACGAAGAAAAAAAGCCGCAAGGAGCGGAGACGACGGTGCAGGCACGACGATGATGATATATAATAATGATGATGATGATGGCGTTGGGGCAGTTATATACCGGTTTAGCACACACAGGCAGGCGGGTTGATGAAGCTAGGCGCGGTAAAGGCGAGGGGTTGGGAGGAGGAGGACAAAAGCCTTTAAGAGTCTCGAGTGGGGCAGGCCCGGCACGATTTGGGGCATTAGCCGTTCGAGAGCATCCATTCTTGACCCAGAATGACACGCAAGAAAGCCAGTTAGTCTTCGGTCCCTTCC